GAGAAATCCAAATTTTGTTCTGAGCTTGACAAATACATAATAATCAACCCAGATTTGTCATAAACATTGTCATAAAGAAGAAGTAAGAGTTTTGTGATAAAAATAGTATATGATGAATGAATATTGTGATATCTCCTTGATAAATTAGTGAGGTAAAGTGAGCCCCATGTACTGCCTATTGGGCCACACGTAATGTCTGCCTGGAATTGTTACTGACATTTTCAGTTTCTCTACAAATCACAGAAATAGTGTTAGGGCTTGGCACTACATGGAAAAGTGGTGAACCTTTCAAGAAGCCAATGTGGAGCCAAAATTACTTCAACAGCACACTGAGGACTCATCCAGATGATCGTTATCAGAAAAACATTTAAACCCCTGTAGACCTTACAGTATGATCCTCAGTTAAGTCAGTGCTGACAGTTTAAGAGCAACTGGGCAGAGATGATTCAGGACCATACTTTGTGGAATCAATAGTGGAACTTTCTGTATGGCTTAAAGGTAACACCTGGATGATTAATCAACTCCATAATATGTTCACAAACAAATCCTGATGGAGAGTCTCTGGCCATCAGTTTGTGACGCTAACATCCAACATACTTGGTTTATCCTGGAGGATAGTTAAACTAACCACAGGAGGTTTTCTTATGAAGGTTTTGGAGAGTTGTAAAAATCTGGACTTTGATTGTATTAAGTTTTTGTGCCCTTACTCATGATCAAAATGTGCTGAATTAAAACACTGTTTAAAAGAGTAGGTCCAATTTCCACCATAAAGATGTAAAAGTTGCCAAAATAATCAGGTTTAGGCAGCAGTTACTTCATTTACCCTGAATAAAAAAAAGTTGAAAACTATTAACTCATGTTACTTTTTTTCCAGATTTACCGATTTTCAGATGATTTGAGACTGTTGTGACAAAAGGTTACTAATAGATACACTATATTGCCAAAAGTATTTGCTCACCTGCCTTGACTCACATATGAGCTTAAGTGACATCCCGTTCCTAATCCATAGGGTTCAATATGACGTCGGTCCACCCTTTGCAGCTAGAACAGCTTCAACTCTTCTGGGAAGGCTGTCCACAAGGTTTAGGAGTGTGTTTATGGGAATTTTTGACCATTCTTCCAGAAGCGCATTTGTGAGGTCGCACACTGATGTTGGACGAGAAGGCCTGGCTCTCAGTCTCCGCTCTAATTCATCCCAAAGGTGTTCTATCGGGTTGAGGTCAGGACTCTGTGCAGGCCAGTCAAGTTCATCCACACCAGACTCTGTCATCCATGTCTTTATGGACCTTGCTTTGTGCACTGGTGCACAGTCATGTTGGAAGAGGAAGGGGCCAGCTCCAAACTGTTCCCACAAAGTTGGGAGCATGGAATTGTCCAAAATGTCTTGGTATGCTGAAGCATTCAGAGTTCCTTTCACTGGAACTAAGGGGCCAAGCCCAGCTCCTGAAAAACAACCCCACACCATAATCCCCCCTCCACCAAACTTTACACTTGGCACAATGCAGTCAGACAAGTACCGTTCTCCTGGCAACCGCCAAACCCAGACCCGTCCATCAGATTGCCAGATGGAGAAGCGCGATTCGTCACTCCAGAGAACGCGTCTCCACTGCTCTAGAGTCCAGTGGCGGCGTGCTTTACACCACCGCATCCGACGCTTTGCATTGCACTTGGTGATGTATGGCTTGGATGCAGCTGCTCGCCCATGGAAACCCATTCCATGAAGCTCTCTGCGCACTGTTCTTGAGCTACATGAAGTTTGGAGGTCTGTAGTGATTGACTCTGCAGAAAGTTGGCGACCTCTTCGCACTATGCGCGTCAGCATCCGCTGACCCCGCTCCGTCAGTTTACGTGGCCTACCACTTCGTGGCTGAGTTGCTGTCGTTCCCAAACACTTCCATTTTCTTATAATACAGCTGACAGTTGACTGTGGAATATTTAGGAGCGAGGAAATTTCACGACTGGATTTGTTGCACAGGTGGCATCCTATCACAGTTCCACGCTGGAATTCACTGAGCTCCTGAGAGCGACCCATTCTTTCACAAATGTTTGTAAAAACAGTCTGCATGCCTAGGTGCTTGAATTTATACACCTGTGGCCATGGAAGTGATTGGAACACCTGATTCCAATAATTTGGATGGGTGAGCAAATACTTTTGGCAATATAGTGTATATGTACTACAATATAATGTTTTTGATTCAAATGTGCTGTTTATTCATTTAAAAATAGTTTATTTTACTTTAACAATCCATCTTTCCTCTTTGCTCCAAATAACTGACAAAACCTGCCTAATGAGGTGACAGCTTTACTTCTGTAAGGAAATCCTGGGGGAGGAGGGGGATTATCTGCTTTCAAGTCAGACGTCTGTTTGACTGAAGGTCCAGAGGATTCAAAAACAACATATTAAATTCAGACAAAAAAAGACCGTAGTTTCTGTTCATGGAGCAATGGCTGTGGACATGAAATGTATTCCCCATTGTCAATCCAGTTCTTTCATAAGATGCAACTTTAAAGTTTTCCAGGGACAAAGATACTAATTATATTCTATATCCTTATGCATTGTTGTAAATGATGCAGCAGAAGGTTAAACACTGATTTAAATGTATCCTTATATTGTCCAGAAGTGGACGTCCATTTAGGCTGATGAAAGTCTGCCACAAATAAGATATACTACGGTTTTATGGTTTCTAGCCTCAGGCTCTGAAACTCTCTGTGGGATCTGAACTTTCAGGCCCTAAACAATAAAGAAGAGGATACAGATAAATAAATAGATATGCATAAAGACATTGCTGTGACCTTCACAGCAGGTAAACAGCTGGAGATTTTTTAATGACTCCCACCAACAAGCCCATCAAGCAGGCTTTGGATGAACAGCTGAATTCCAAAGTCAAGACAGTTATTGAGAAAGTTTTGAACACGTTAATTCCACTCCTCATGAGGCAGATGCTGGATCACAACCTCTTTCTTGATTTTTGGGGGTTACAGGAATTCTATTCAACCTTTTTTAAATAAATGATCCCCAAAACGCTTTGACTCCAGAGAGGGCACCTTAGTACACACTTTGATTCCAGAGAGGACACTTTAGTGTGTGCTTTGACACCAGAGAGTGCACTTTAGCACATGCTTTGACTCCAGAAGGCACTTTAGCACACGCTTTGACACCAGAGAGAGCACTTTAGCACATGCTTTGACTCCAGAGAGTGCACTTTAGCACATGCTTTGACTCCAGAAGGCACTTTAGCACACGCTTTGACACCAGAGAGAGCACTTTAGCACATGCTTTGACTCCAGAGAGTGCACTTTAGCACATGCTTTGACTGCAGAAGGCACTTTAGCACATGCTTTGACTCCAGAGAGTGCACTTTAGCAAATGCTTTGACTCCAGAGAGTACACTTTAGCACATGCTTTGACTCCAGAGAGTGCACTTTAGCACATGCTTTGACTCCAGAAGGCACTTTAGCACACGCTTTGACACCAGAGAGAGCACTTTAGCACATGCTTTGACTCCAGAGAGTGCACTTTAGCACATGCTTTGACTGCAGAAGGCACTTTAGCACACGCTTTGACTCCAGAGAGTGCACTTTAGCATATGCTTTGATTCCAGAAAGCACTTTAGCCCACACTTTGACTCCAGAGAGAGCACTTTAGCACATGCTTTAACTCCAGAAGGCACTTTAGCACACGCTTTGACACCAGAGAGGGCACTTAATCACACGATTTGACTCAAGAGGGCACTTTAGCACATGCTTTAACTCCAAAGAGGGCACTTTAGCATGTGCTCTGACACCAGAGAGGGCACTTTAGCACACGCTTTGACTCCAGAAGGCACTTTAGCACACGCTTTGACTCCAGAGAGGGCACTTTAGCACATGCTTTGAATCCAGAAGGCACTTTAGCCCACGCTTTGACACCAGAGGGCACTTTAGCACATGCTTTGACTCAAGAGAGGGAACTTTAGCGCATGTTTTGGCGTCCGAAAGGGCATGTCAGAGTGTTTCAGGTCCTGAAGACGCACTTTGGTCCGTGCGAAGACATTAGCATGTTTTTGGCACATGCTTTGGTTCCCAAAAGGGAACTTTATTACAAGCTTTGGCTCCTGAGAGGGCCCTTTAATGTGGTTTTGTCTCCAGAGGGGCCCTGTAGCACATGCTCTGGCTTCCAAAAGGACACTTTAACATACAATTTGGCTCCCAATAGGGAACTTTATATTGTAATATTCAACAACTGCTCCATGTCTCTACTTGATGACATGATATTCCAGCATTGTTTATTTCTCCAATAGAAAATTTTCCTGAACCATAATAATTTATGCCTGTGTTTGAATTCCTGACAGAAAAGTGTGTTTTATATCAGACATAATGGCCAGTTTCTGATTAACTGTTTTAGTGTTTTCATGACATTATAAATAATAATGAGCATTGGTTATCTATCAGTCATATCAAATAATTGCTAAAGGGATTTAAAGTTTCTCTGCAAAACTTTTTGATAAACCTCACAATGGTTTGATCAGAAGTCCTGGAGGGATTTTTTTGTAGTTAGTTGCAAACAAAGCCGCAGATTTAAATCTGTCCCATTTTATGGCACTCTGGAGCCTGTCATACCTTAACAATACCTTTTGCTTTTAAAAGCAAAAAATTATTTCATTTTGAAGTACATGTTGAATTGCTTCAATTTCAAACTATTGTAGTCCACATTAAATAGAGCCTTTTAGCTTGTCTCCACTTGAAACCTGTGATTACGTCAATAAAAGTTCTTTGTGTGTGAGTAGAGTTTTTTTATTTGTGCCCCGAGTGAGTCAGGCCAAGCATCAAGCATCACAATCAAAGCTGCCATAGTTAAAACCGTCTCCATGTTTCTGTGTATCTGATGCATGCGTGCACGTTTGCGTGTTCAGTGGCGTCAGAACTACCTATTTTTGCGCCATCCGTGGACGCTTCCCACCGGTCCAGGCCACTCCCACTTTCTCTGAGTCAGTATAAAATATAGCATCCCCTCCCTCCCTTCCACTTTCTCTCAGCCTGAACATTGGAGCAAAACTCAGCACCTCCAGATCATCCTCTTCTGGTCTATGCCAACAACTGAAGGTAAGAAACACAAATCTGTTTGCAGTTAATCCCTTAATTTTTGGTGTTTTGTTTTGGGTTTTTTTAAGAACTTTTTTGTGTTTTTGTCTGAAATAAAAGTTTTTGTCTGAAATAAAACTACTTCTAGGTTACAAACCCATTCAATGTTACACACTTTATAATATGGGAGAAATTCCTTGTTGTTTTCTTCCTCTAATGTTTATGCTTTTAATAGATAACTTTATTAAATACTAAAAAATATATATTTCTTTGGACCTTTAAAAAGGGAGATTTTATCCTTTGATTTTTGTTATTTGACAGTAGAGAATTATTTTTATTTAAAACCATTATAAAGCTCAGAATTGGAGTATTATTGGTTGATATGAATAGATTAACTGAATGTAGTAAAACTAGAATATTTGTATACATAAGAAAAATGTCATATATCATCCTTTTTACATTGTAAAACAATCTTTACTGGATTCATTGTTTTGTAAAATCAACCTCTTTATTTTGTTCAGCTTTTATTATTATTGACTTAATTTTACTTTGAGATTAATAAAGTGTTTTTGAATTGAATTTCAGCAATGTTTTTATAAACACCAGGACATACAAACTAAATAAAAACCTTTAAAGACAAGCAGATTTTAAGCTGTGCACCGCAGAGTTGTGGAAAGGTTTTCACGCGCAGCCCCACATCATTATCAGCCCGATGAATAATGAATGAAAGACAACCAGCTGCTTTCAGGAATTATATTAGCATGAAAAGAATGGCTACTTACACCACAGTGCCACTTTAAATAAATTTATTGAAATGGACATTTGTTTTCTTTCCCAGTGATGAAATTACAGATAAAGTCTTGATGTAATTTAGATTAAAACTAGAGCTGTCTTTCTTATCTGAACATCCCATGGTGTATATTAATATTCAGTGGGGGGTTAACATATGAAATAATCAGTGAATAACCGAGGAAAAGGGACTTGCAGCAAAATCCAGATCCATATAACACAGGATATCTGACAAATAATTAAAAACTGTCCTACCCTCAAAGATGTTTTCTGATTTGTAGTTTTGATCCTCAAGATGAAAAAGTTGTGCTGTAAAAAATTGCATTCACTTCCAGGAATCTGAAGTCTGCAGAGGGCTGTGCTGTAATAATAGCCTTGATGCAGACTGAGACAGTGGGAATTTTCCAATTACAGCAGATTGAAATCCTCCGAGCAACTGCTGTTGTTTTCCTCTAATTGGACTTTTCCTCTGGAAGAATTTTCTAATATGAAGCATCGTTCATCACCTCTAATGAAGAAACTTCAATATGCCGGAAAATGAGCCAAATCAGTCTCCCAAATGTAATACTGTTGATAAATCTACAAATGACATTCAGATTGCTGGCAAATATTTCATCGGCACCCCTCTGTTTAGGTAATATTGCTGAAAGAGATCAGTGTAATTGAGGACAAGGAAATAGAATCTATTCCCATAGTAAGTGTTTTTTAGTATAATTTGAGCTCAAAAAGCAGCAAAGTGCAGAGCCCAATTAATCCTAATTCCTTTGAGACTTCTTCCTCGCTGACACAGGCACACTTAAGGTGTGTGTTAAACAGTAAAATGTTCCGTTCCCTTTTAGCAGCTCAACAGTGTGTGTCAATCAGACCAAATGATGTTTGCTGTAGGTTTATCAAACCTTCATCTCTTCCACCTGTGTCATCCTTTAGGAACTATAAAACGCTTTATTGCTGCTTTTACATCCACTCAAATGATCTGTAGGTTTGATCTAAAGTAGAGGCAGCAGGTTAAGATTATTTCCACCAAATTTAACTTTGTGTTTTTCTGTCCTCTTCTCCATCTGCTTTAGTATCCAGTCATGAATGTAGGCATCTATGTGTGTGTTATCCTGGCCGCCTTGTCCAGTGGCTCCCTGAGTCTGCCTTCACAGTCAATGGTAAGATACACACACAGGTATTCTAGAAAAATCTGACTCTAAAACACAAAAAAGTACCTGAACACACTATGGTCAAACTAGACTAAAATGAGGCAACTTAACGGAAAACCTGGCATTCAGAAAAAACATGAGCACTTACATTTTTCCAAGTTAAATAAAATTCAAAAGGATTTTCCTTGTTTTCCTATCCCTATGCCAGAGAGCTGAGAGTTCTGCTCGCCTAACAGAAAGCCTCCATGCTCCGTCACCCAACCAAGCACGCCAGGTCCGCTCGGCTCCAGAGCCACCATCAGACCAGTTTACCCACTACAGCCAGCTCCGTGAGAACGAAGAGGCTCCAAACAGCCTGAGCAAGCTCCTGGCCAGACTCATCTCCAGGAAAGGTGAGTGCTCAGAGGAACGACGTCCTTCCCCTTCAACCGAGTCACGATTCACACATCTTCCTCCTCATCCTGTTATTCCTCTGCTGTCATTCATGCTGTGCCTCTATCCCACCATCTGGCATGTCCCATCTCCATCCTGCCGTCATCTCTTGCCTTCTCCCTGTCTCTTCCACTTCTTTTTAACAAACCTTCCCCCTCCATCATGTCCTCGCTCGCTCTCTGCCTCTCCCTTTAAGTCAACTCTATGCAGGGGGGGAGATCTGCTGAGCTCACTGCTCTTGTAGAAAACAAAAAGACATATATAAAAACAGGACAAGTTAATGGGTTAACCCATTTAGACTCACTTAAGAAGTTGCAAACCATCATTAACAGAAAACATAGGAATAAAAAAAACAAAAGCCAGCCTCAATAAGTCAGTGTGTTTGGTCTTTTCCAGGCTCTCCATTGCAGATCAGATCCTCTCTCAGCAGCAGAGCTGTGGCGCCCAGCCACAGGATAAAGGACAGAGATTACCTCGGCTGGATGGACTTTGGACGACGTAGTGCAGAAGAGTATGAATATTCTCCGTGAAGCCACAGTCGGGCTTTCCTTCATCCCCCGTCACAGCTCCCAACAGCCCTCGGTTAAAGCCAGCAAAATCACATAGCAATTTCTATCTTTCACATTTCATTTAAATTAGGATCCTGGAATGAGATCAGATTCAAAAATGTACAGAATAAAGCAGATTATGGTAAATATTTTAATTCTGATGATAGACATTTAGAAGATTTAACCGCAGTATTTTTTAATCTCTGATTATTTCTTCTGCCCCTCAAAATAAATCATTTCATTAAAGAGAGAATCTCTGTCAAGTCTTAAACCACCTGAGTCCTGCAGTTTGTTTTTTTCTAAAACACGACTCAAATAGAAATGAACTGAGGGTTAATTTTTTGGGGGAATATTTCAAGTGTTTTCTAAATACAGATTTAGTTTGCTGGTAATAGAGGAGGGTTTGGAGAGTTTGATGCATGTACAGAATAAAGTACATTTGCAACAGACTGCTGAAGACGGTGCTGTGTTGTAATACCAATAAAATGCATTTACTTTCCATTTAATTTTGCTAAAATGAGACATTTGTTAATTTAAAGTGTTCATTCAACGTAATATCAAAATATGTACCTGGACTTCAAAGTTGGATTTTTTCTGCAGTATTTTATTCGAAATTAGAAAAAAAAAAGAAAAAAGATCTTTAGCACTGAAAGATATTTTCTTCCGAATGTTTTTTGGAGTTCTGAAATGTTCAGCAATTTATGGCCCACTTAATTAGCTTTAACGACACACAGATGTCCAGTAAGAACATCTTTTCATGTCCCACCATCTGCATCCGAGTGCAGCATCACTCTGAAGAGCGGATGAAAACACATCTCCGGTCCGCCCCAAGCGGGGAAATCTGGGACAAAGGTGTGAAAGAGTGAAAAGATCAAAACTGATTTCAGAAGTTTCTATTACAAGGCCTTTAAATCAACCACTAGATATTCTGTAGACATCATCTCTATAGCTGAGGTGTTTCGGAGAAGTTTGTGCATTGAAATATAGAATCACTGTAATAAACATGTTTTATCATCTTTTTGAGCGAACAGAAGTCAAATTAAAGCTCATCCTTCCTCTGACATAAACATGAAGCATCATATCCAATCAAAGCTGATCTCAAGTAGCTGCTCTGTCAGTCCAGAACATTTCAGCCCTGAAACAAACCACATGATTAAGTGGTTTTTGCCAGGACTCCTTTTTTAATTCAGAGAGAACAAAATACAAGCTTTCAACACAGCTTTAGAGCTGCAGCCGACAAATACATCATGATTCATCACTGGCTGAGTGAAAAGGCCTGATGGCAGCTGGTGGTTCTGTTCAAAGCTGGAAAAAGCACGCTGCACAGTGGACGTCTGCTGTGATGGGAAATTAGCAGGTTAGCGCATCAGTCTACAGGTACTTTCAAGGCTAAAAGACAAATAATAATAATGAACTCACCAAACCTCCAAAAATTAACTTCAAAATACCGGATTCCAAATAATATACCCAATCTAGCTTTCAGATGTATGATAACGGTGTAAAAACAGCGAGTAACTAGATGATTACATAAAAAATAACAATGGAAATAAATACTTTCTGAAGCAAGAACCTGCTTATTAATGCTCGTATCTGTTAGATGTCAAAAAGGAAAAACTCAGTTGTTTTAACTCACAGCAGAATGAATTAGCGTGACAAATTTCAATTAGTGTCAAATGTCAATAAGTGGATAAAAAAGGTGACAGAATATTTTCTTTCAAAATCTTAAAAGAAACAATGTATCTCTAAACTAACTTAGAGGCAGAAGTCTATTGTGTTTTAATTATTTCCTTTTGCTTTTAAAAAGTATACTGTAAACTGAAAAAAAAAGCTAAACACCATCACACGCATTCAGTTGACTAGAACCCGACATACACAGCAAATAACCATGTAGCTTCTTTGACTCAGTGTAACTAATTTTTCACTAATAATAAAGAGATTAAATTAGGAGCATCTGTCATTCTTGGAAGCCCAATTTACAGAAATATTTATTTGTTTTAATTAATTCACTCTTAGCTATGGAATCTATAAGATTTAAAGAAATAACCAAAAATAGTTTCTCACTTAGTTTAAACCACTTGTTTACACACACTGCACATACATACAGGTGCTGGTCATAAAATTAGAATATCATGAAAAAGTAGATTGATTTCAGTAATTCCATTTAAAAAGTGAAACTTGTATATTATATTCATACATTACATACAAACTCATATATTTCAGATGTTTATTTTGTTTAATTTTGATGATTACAAATGACAACAAATGAAAATCTCAAATTCATCATATCAGAAAATTAGAATATTACTGAAGACCAATAAAAACAAAGGATTTATAGAAATGTTGGCCAACTGAAAAGTATGGACAAGAAAAGTATGAGCATGTACAGCACTCAGTATTTAGTTGGGCCTCCTTTGGCCTGTATTACTGCAGCAATGCGGCGTGGCATGGAGTCGATCAGTCTGTGGCACTGCTCAGGTGTTATGATAGCCCAGGTTGCTCTAATAGTGGCTTTTAGCTCTTCTGAATTGTTGGGTCTGGTGTATTGCATCTTCTTCTTCACAATACCCCATAGATTTTCTATGGGGTTAAGGTCAGGAGAGTTTGCTGGCCAATTAAGAACAGGGATACCATGGTCCTTCAACCAGGTACTGGTAGCTTTTGGCACTGTGTGCAGGTGCCAAGTCCTGTTGGAAAATGAAATCTGCATCTCCAAAAAGTTGGTCAGCTGCAGGAAGCATGAAGTGCTCTAAAACTTCCTGGTATGTGGCTGCGTTGACCCTGGACCTCAGAAAACACAATGGACCAACACCAGCAGATGACATGGCACCCCAAACCATCACTGACTGTGGAAACTTTACACTGGAATTCAAGCAACGTGGATGAAGTGCCTATCTTCTTTTCCTCCAGACTCTGGGACCTTGATTTCCAAAGGAAATGCAAAATTTACTTTCATCAGAGAACATGACTTTGGACCACTCACCAGCAGTCCAGTCCTGTTTCTCTTTAGCCCAGGCAAGACGCTTCTGACGCTGTCTGTGGTTCAAGAGTGGCTTGACACAAGGAATGCGACAGCAGAAACCCATGTCTTTCATACGTCTGTGTGTGGTGGTTCTTGAAGCACTCACTCCAGCTGCAGTCCACTCTGTGAATCTCCCCCACATTTTTGAATGGGTTTTGTTTCACAATCCTCTCCAGGGTGCGGTTATCTCTCTTGCTTGTACACTTTTTTCGACCACATCTTTTCCTTCCCTTCGCCTCTCTATTAATGTGCTTGGACACTGAGCTCTGTGAACAGCCAGCCTCTTTAGCGATGACCTTTTGTGTCTTGCCCGCCTTGTGCAAGGTGTCGATGGTCGTCTTTTGGACAACTGTCAAGTCAGCAGTCTTCCCCATGATTGTGTAGCCTATAGAACTAGACTGAAAGACCATTTAAAGGCTTTTGCAGGTGGTTTGAGTTAATTAGCTGATTAGAGTGTGGCACCAGGGGCCATCAATTTTGAACCTTTTCACAATATTCTAATTTTCTGATATGATGAATTTGAGATTTTCATTTGTTGTCATTTGTAATCATCAAAATTAAACAAAACATCTGAAATATATGAGTTTGTATGTAATGTATGAATATAATATACAAGTTTCACTTTTTAAATGGAATTACTGAAATCAATCTACTTTTTCATGATATTCTAATTTTATGACCAGCACCTGTATATGGAACCCCAAAGACATTAAAGTGGAGTTAAGCTTAACCTTAAGTTAGGATTATCACTTATTTGTATTTGCTAAAATACCAGAGTTATGATGGTGAGATTGATGGAGCTTCTTTATGCTTTATTTTGGTTGAAGAAAGTATAAACAAGATTACAAAATGATCAGAGCCCACATAATGTAATGTAATGGCTGTGTAAATTGCAGACAGGTTAATCTACAGCAGCTAGCTGGAGGCTCACCTGTGGATATATTTGAAGAAAACATTTAAAATGCATTGCATCCTATCATGACTCCAGGCTAATATCTATAGCAAGCAGAAGAGATCTTTTGCCCACTATAATTCTAGTTCCTTCTTGGTTACAACTTCCTGATGCCTAAAGGATCCAAACAAAATATAAAAAGCATTCAAATTAGGACTGTCCATGTTTTAAACCTTTCAGCATCAAGACAATTTCTTTGTCCCAAAGATGAACGGAAGGAAGAAAGCTGGAATTCCAATAGAAACAGAAAAAAGATACGACTGAAACTTTGTGAAAGGTTTTACATTAAGCATATTTTTGATAAATTTTGAGTTTGGTTATAATGACCAATTTTGAGTGTATTGCCTCCCCAATAGTAAGGCATGGTCGGGGCAGCATCATGGTGAAAGAGCATTATGCGAGTATATTGAGGGCACATCTGAAGCCTTGCATGGTGGTGCCATAGTTCTGTTTTGGCAGGATGAACAGTTATGTGAGGTAATTCTGTGTTCTGGATTTTGTTTTATAACTTCATTCAGTAGGAGTTTTATCCATCTCTGCAGGAGTGTCAATAGGACTCATGGAAGAGAAAAAAATGCCAATAAAAGCAACATTCATAAAAAACAGACAGTGAGTTACATGGATATTCTTTAACTCCTTTATTTTGAACACACTGGAAGGCTTTGTCCACACATTCCTCTGTAGATGTACATGAAAACAGACTTCCACACATCGACACATTTATTTATTCAAACAGAACCATCATTAGAGATACACACTAACATCCATTCAACATGTTAAAAAAAAACAAAAAAAAACATAATACCAGGCTTTAATGAAAAAAAGAAAAATAGATTATATCTTAAACTCTAGTGTTAAAAGTACTAAGACACCAAGTCTCTGTTTGAAGATTATTTATGACAAGGAGCCATGAGAAAAGCATCCTGCAGTCATATTTAATGACCCAACTGCAGGAGTTTCATCAGATGGATCATTTATTTTAGAAGACGATATGATGGATAAGACATGTTTATATCAGCGCCTTCACCTGGATACTGATGGGACTTAATGGCAGCTTGCCTGGAAGAATCTCAGATCAGGGACCACATGTCGGCGTTTAAAGTGTAACAAAGAACTCTGAGGTAAACTTATGAGAAATAACACTCAGCCGCCACCTGCTTATTGGACTATACACAAGTCCCATTCTTCATTCTAATACATTCATTTACTACCTCGAAGGTAAATGTGTCCTCTATAACCACGGTCAGATTTAACGAGAATCAGAAGGGACATTCAAACTTATTAAAGCATCTCTAGAGTATTATTATAATAACTCATAACGGATATTTGGCACTACTGAGACTATGGTTATGCCTCGGATGTTCTTTCACAAAGTAGGCAGCTAAGAGTTGTTATTAATACAACTTGGTTTATTATCACAACACAATGACTAACTGTCTAATAAGTGTCCTTATGAGTTAAGCAGACTGTTGGAAATTAGGTCGATTGTAAGATATGTACACAGAAAGTGGCAGTGTGAATGGAATAAAAGGAACGCGTCCTATCTTATGAGGCTCATTAAGAAAAACAAACTAAATACGAAGAAGTTTAGCGCTTCATATGTAGTAGCTTCAGCGGTTCATAAACGGTTGGTTTAATCATGCTGTGGAGTGCGGCTACCAACCTGATTTGTTAAAAGAGCTTGTTACGTTGCTCAAACGAACTAATTCATTTTGAATGTACAACCATTTGCAAACATAAACCATGCAATTAATCAAAAGAGTAGTCATTAAAGAGTTGGTGTAGTTATTGCTGACAGGAAATGGACCACTGAGTACTACTATAACAAAAAAAAAAAAAAAAACTACCAAGAACCGTTTATCTTTAATACTTTGGATCTCTGCAAACTTCAGTTCAACTATATTCCACTTGGGAACAATTATTTAAACATATAAAACTGTTAAATCCATCATTGAGTGTGTGAAACTTATCCTAACATGCATTTTTATCATAAAATAAATGCTATGAGAACAATAATAGGATACAACAATAAGATACAAGCAAACTGATATTATTATTACTAGCATACAGTGTGCATATCATTTCTAAAGACCATATATAAAATACTAAATTGTGAACTTGCTACCCTTACATCATATGTTCTACTGTTAGGAATATTATACATCTCTGATTTTACAACAATGGACAGTAAACAATAAAGACACAGTTGTTGGTCGTTAAAATAAAATTCAAACATCGTCTCTTTCAAGTATCTGTGAAATGTAAAAAAAAAAAGCTACAAACTATTAACTTAATGTACATTTTGTTTTTTATGATGGTGATTTTCCTTCTGTTCACTGATTGATATTATAATATAAATAATATTTAATATCTACCCTTCTGCTAAAGTTTTTTTCCACCTTGGTCCAGTTTGGTTTTCATAGATTATATAAAGTTATTAGGGTAGCTTTATATAACGGTACAATGGTCCATTTGTAAACTCAAAAGTTCTTATTCCTGATTCTTCTACTAAACTGGGTTATTTAGTGGCAACTGGCCACCATAGACTTAAAGACAAACCCACTAATTCTTATAGTCTTCCAGCTGATTGTCGGCGTGTCAGTGGAAGTGTCCCATAGCTTCAGCTGCTTTTACTCTAACCACAGGATCTGGATCCTGGAGCAGCATCACTAAACCTGGATACACAGACACCGTTAACCTGGAGACATTCAGGATGTGACCTCCTTGTTTTAAAGGGAACTGGGAGACTTACCTTTGGAAATGGTGCTCATGTTGAGGTGGGAGAGCTGCTCCTGCTGAATGTTTCCCAGGAGGAACCCTAGTGGTGGAAATTGATATTACAACATGCAGCAAATTTTCAGACGGTAGAGTAAAATCCCCTAAAATGTAGGTTGTAATTAATGTAGTATAAAGCTGAAAGTCTGTAGGATCGCCGACTTCATTAACCAGCATTTCTGTATTACCAATATCTAATATCCTAATTTTTATCATTAGATGGAAGTCAGAATTTTTAATTTTCTAGGTGAGATTTTAAAGTTTATCAACATTGTTTGACACAAATCTAAATAAGTTTATTTTTATAAAAAAAAAAATTCCCTAATAATATTCTATTTCATTGAGATGCAATGATTTTGATACATGGATGAAATAGCAGTATCAGAACTGTTTCCTTGTTAATGTTAGCAGTTTATGTGATGTTGCAAACAGCTTCAGTACCTATAAACATGGCTGCTGCAGCTCTGACTTCAGACCAGCTGCTCTTAAAGAACTGGATGACGGAGATGTGGTAGAAGTTCAACATGCCGGGAAAGTCTTGAATCTACAACAAAACAAAAACAAGAATGACCATAACAGTTGCTGCTGTAATGTAACAATAACTCCTTGCAGGTGTATTAAGCTGGGCGTACACTGTGCGATTTTTTCAGTCGTTGCATGCAGCTACTGCTCACGCCGTACGACTAAACCGCAGGTTTTAGTCGTACAGTGCGAGTTCACAGCTCACGATGTATGTGCAGCACAATGCTCTGATGCGATCTACCTGCTCACACTGTACGACTAAAAAGCACGTCAGACTCAGCTCCACAGTGAGATGAAGCTGCTCTGACTCCTCTATCCGGAAGCCAAACAAACAGAAGGGGAATATTAAGCTCACTACAGTGAACCGCGCTGCCTTGGCAATTGGTGCAATTTTGTGCTGAAAGCCCTAAAAATAAAAGGCGACGACATATTTTGAAAAAAAGACAAGGCTGAGCAAACGTGGCTACTATGGTCTGTCAATTTTACAGACAGAACTGCATTTCACTCATTGCATCCCTGCCACGCTTCTTTGTTTACAGAAGAATCCTTCTTTGCGCATGCACACAGAGAGATTTGCCCACGACGGTCGGGAGAAAATCAAACATGACCTCAGGATTCCTGATCGGGAGGTGGTCGTGTGAGGCTGATCACCTCTCGTAACCCCCTGTACACTACACAACTCACGATCAGGCTGAAAGTCGGGCCGTTCGAAAGAGTCTCGCATGTCTGAAAAATTGCCTTGAAAATCGCACAGTGTACGCTGGGCTTTAGAGGAATGCGCAGCTAAAAATCAGCAAGCTTTAATGCTACAGCAGCGCAGGTGTGTCTCACCAGGTACTTGGTGAGATCATTGATGAACTCTCCATAGTGCAGGCTCTTGTCCTCATGAAGGTGATTCTGAAACATGGTTGTGATCTGCTCTGATCCAACTACAGGAGCGCACACTCGCATCGCATATTTACAGGCCTGAAAACATTAGCAGAAGAAGAGATATACAAATATTAAACAAACGTAAAACTGAAGAGGTATATGTATGAAAAAAAGCTTTTCCAACTGCTGCGCGTGCTTCTGTACCTTGACCACTTGTGTGTTTGGGTCGACCAGGTGCAACAGTAAGCTGACCAGAACATTATGGATCTGGTCTTTGAATATCTGCTCCCCTGAGCCAAATTTGGACAGATTGCCCATCAGGAGGATGGAAGCACAGCGGATATCGTCATTTTCCTGCACAAACATCAGGACAGAAATTTCTAATGTTTACACACTTGCAGGAAGAATTAAGCAACATGAAAAAATGAGATAATGGAGGACAAGTCTTTTCTCAGCTGGATCCCTTAGGCCTAGTAACGAATGCTGCATTTGCTGTATTTGAGCCCAAGAATTAATTATGAAGAGCTTATTTTTGTCATTTCCATTTTAGTTTCCACATCGGTGGTTAAAATGCAGCATTTTTAGCTAAGCTCAGACCATCAGACAACATCAACATCCAACAGGTAGGTAGTCCAAAGGATTTAAATTAAAATTGTTTCAGTCCATTAGAACTAGACACTTTTCCTACAATTAGCAGCAGAAAATTAATAAAAAAATAAATAAAATCATCATACAGGCCATTTTCTGCTGTAAACTGCTGAAATAACCAACTTGACCGTTATTGCACAATCTAAAGTATGACCGATGTGCAGTGTGTGATATTACAGCAGCGCAAGCTGAATTGTGGTTTTTATTTTGTTATAATTGAGTGTGAGAACCCAAAACACTGCTTGATGCAATATTTGCAGTCGTAGTGTTGGCTCTCTGTAAATGTGAGGAGGATGAACTTCAACTGGCCTCAAAGCCCCAGCTGATGCATGGTGGTCATGACTGGGATGCTATTGGTCACACTGAGTAGCTGGTGCATTTTGCAAGGATAAAGAAAGAAAAGTCAGGAGGACAAGCCCTAATTATAACTGATATCAACTGTGCAGTTTTCAGGAATAGAACTGCAAACAATAGATTTTTATAACATAAAACCACCTAAATTAAAGTTTTTCTATGAAAATTATACTGTACATTGTTTTTTTTATTCACTAGCAAGATAATATTGTATAACAGAGTACAGGTAATGGGGGAAAAACTGGTAAAAAAAAAGAGCATATCTTTTTATAAGCCTGTAAAATATTCAAAGAATAAAGCAAATGTTCTAATTAATGGAGTAGCTGCAGTTTTATTAGCAAGGGAAGCTTAGAGATATGAAAATATAAATAAATTCTCTTATGTTAGCATCTTAAAACCCAACTCACACTTTCTAAGAAAGGTTTGATTTTCATGAAGATGTAGACCACCAGTAAGTGGACGTTCTTCTTGTCCAGGTGAAGAAGAACTTTAGACAGACCAGACATGGCCTCCAGGGTAATCAGTTTACCTGTAAAAGACAAAATAACGTAAACAACCAGCTTTTCCTCAATGATGACAAAACTTCCCTGCTCCTCTTCAATTACCCGGATCATCTTTCTCCTCCATTCCTGAGCTCATAGCTGCGAGCAGCTCCTTGGCGTATTTATTCACCTAAAAGGAAAAGGAACAAGTTAACAGATCGCATCTGTAGAGGGTGTACCGTATCCTTGGGGGGGCAGGCGCTCATATTTGCATACCTTTTCAGGGGATCCCACTGCTATGTTGCCCAGTCCTCGCACAGCCAGCATGCGGACAGTGCAGCAGGGATCTGATATCCTCTCCATCATGTTGTTCATCAACACGTCTATCAACATCAGCTCAGTCACAACATGATGGTTCAGCAGCTGGACTCATAAAAAAAGAACAGAGAAACAAAATCAATGGCAAGTTTTCATCTCCTACTGTGGTGGTCTGCGTTAGAACGAAGAGAAATTGAGTTTTTTTTTCTTTTTTATTTAAGTAAAACTGCTTCTAACCTCGGAAAAGAAAGCAGTGACAGTAATTCTTTGACTTTCATAGATGTTGTTCAGCGACGGGCAGAGACTCTCTACAATGGCAGGCAACCTGGGACCAGCATGCTTGGCCAACGCCCTAAACAAGACAAGCACACAAATGAACATACGGTTACACAAAAAAAGAAGTTAGACAAAACAGCTATTTTTGCATCTGCATCCTAAGTTTGAAATATAAAGAAAATCCTTCAGTGCAGCTCAGACTTCTCAGGTTCCTTTTAAGGGTTACTGTCCAAAAAGGTTTGGTTTCAGCGTGCTCACCTTGCCAACAGCGTTATCCCTGTAACGTGTGTGTTTTGCTCCTTCATTGCATCCCAGGCATTATCTTCATCCAGTCGTTTCATCACCTCATCTAACTGAGCGCGGGCCAACAGGATCCGCAGAGCGTCAGCTGCAACCCTGAAGGAGAAAATAACAAACAGATCCTTGTTAAACTAAAGCCCTTCCACAGAGGTTCTTAGAGCCTTTGGCCAAACAATACAGATAAATGAAAATGAGATGAAAAGCACTTTTATTGAGCCTCATCTTTTTATTGAGTACCTACTTATACCTATACAACACCGTAACAATAATATAAAGGATGTTAAAGATCTAGTCTATGTTACTATGCTTCGTCTTTAAAGTAGAAGGGACTCAATTTAAAATAAAAACAGCAAACCTTTTTACATCAAAGGAAAATTCACAAAATAAAAATAAACTGTGGTTTCTTTATTTAACGATGAACAAATGCCATGTCGTTTATTTTTAACCAACCTACAAAACTACATTAATCTACAATTAAAGATAAAAACAATTATAAAAGATTAAGCAGCAATTTGAATGTGTTAAAAAAAAAATTGAAAGGATAAGTTTATGTACAGTGAGGAAAATAAGTATTTGAACATCCTGCTATTTTTTCTGTTCTCCCACTTAGAAATCATGGAGGGGTCTGAAATTGTCATCGTAGGTGCATGTCCACTGTGAGAGATATAATCTAACAATAAATGAAATCCAGAAATCACAATGTAGGATTTGTTCAAATAATTCTTAACTATTTAGCAGGGTGTTCAAAGACTTTTGATCCCCTGAAATAAATAACCTACCCGGCTACATGCAGGGAGCCTGAGTGTTTATGAGCGTTGTCCTTCGGGGCCATGACTCCAACGCTCGCTCCCAGTCTGACGGTCAGACAGGAGAAGAGCTGAGGAAACAGGCCCACTGCTGGCTCCTGCGTATGTCCGTTTAATAACAGTTCCTTCAGACCACATGTCATCTGAAATCAGAGAACAAACAGGAACACAAATGTCAACAATCAGCTTCCCCTTCTAATCTAGTTGACCTTCCTTTGCTTTGGTACAATAGATTCACACCAGCAGCTCCCTGAAGAACAACAAGCAGTAATGAAACACTTAGGTCCCACTTACAGCCAGTGGCTGATTGGTCGCCACTTTCGTCATGCCTCCCCTCATCATTGACTCCTTCTTGTCAACGTAGGGCGCCGTGATGGAAAGTTTCTCCATCACCATCTCTATGATCTGATTGGCTACAATGGGATCTGCTCCCAAAGCCATCCACATCTCACTGGTCCAGCTAGAGGAGACAGTAAAAAATACACAAGCAACAAAATGTCAGGAAATCTAAAATCAGAAGATTTTAGTAGTTTGATTAAATAGCTTGTGATTGTTTGTGTACCTGTCATAGGGAAGAGGTTGGTTAACTAGAGTATTAATGACCGTCTGCAGATGCTGAGAAGCCAGGATTAATACTGTCTGCCCCACTGCTACCCTCACCTTAACAGGAAGAGGAAAAAAACAGCACAAAAGTGACATGAGATGTAGAGCTTTAAAAATTTATATTTGGTACTTTTATAACTCAAACATTATGGAAAACATATAAAAAAAAACACATAAAGAGTTTCTAAAATGGTTTATACAGGAATAAAAACATTGCATGAATGAATGGACAAGTTACCTGTTCCTCTGTAATACTCTGCAAACGCACATGCAGAACCTCCAACATTTCTGGGACCTGTGAAGCCAGCAAATACACACCACCCATTAACAACAGCTAATAATCTTCCACCTTAGCAGTTATTTCTGCGTGTGCAGCGGCTATCCGTTACCAGATCTTGCAGTCCGCCTCCCCTGTTTTTCAGCAGGGTGTTCAGGATGACGGACGAAGCTCTGCAGCAGTTTGTTTGACTGTCCACCAGCCCTTCAAACAACATGAAGACCATGGTCGTCAGCTGCTGCTGAGGCAGGCGTTTAGTCATCACCTGATGGGTGCAGGAGAAGATGCAGTTACTCTTCTGGTTCCGACTACACTCATTAGCCTTGCAAATAGTTAGAACAATACTTTTTGGATGAAGCTGTGCTGAAAATTCTTTAACATTGAGCCTTAAAGTATTCATACCTATTCCTTTACTCTTTAATGGATTAAAATGTTATTACCATTCAATCATTGACTTCTTTGTTTTATTGGCATTTTGTATGTTTGTATGAACAGAGAGTAATGCATAAATAATATTTGAAAAGATGAGTTAATATAGAAAATTGTGGATTTGTATTTAGTCGCCTTAAATCCTCTGCATCCGCCGTAACGCACCTTTGTGAGATCTGAACAGGTCTTGTAAAGAACAGCATGATCAGGGTTCTCTAGCGCTTCTTTTAAAGATGGTAAACCTTCAACAGCTTCATCTTTATAATCCAAAGAGAACCCTAGCAAACAGAAAACATTGATTATACATATGATTTGTCTATCTTATGTATAAAAGGATCCTGGGGCTTCTATGATTACCTTCGTATCGTAGCTGTATACTAAGTAGGGCATATATGCTGTCAACTGCTGCAGCACGTACAGCCGGCTGAGGGTCAGAGCAGCGGGGAGACAGACGACCCAGCAGAGCTCCAAGGTTGTGGAAAGAGACCATACTCTGCAGACGTAAGGATGCACAAACAAGCAAAACCAGACCTTTGTTATAGACAGTAGAAGTAACAAGCAAAGAGAACAGCTATGTTATCTGATCCCTTTTAGCCATTAAAATCTGTAAGTTTTGCTACTGAAAGCAAAATAAAGAAGTCTGATAAAACAAAACAAACAAAAAAAACAAAAAACAAAAAAAACACTGAGCGCACTGTCCCATATGCGAGTACCTTAACATTTAGGTTTTGCAGATAGTAAGCCAGAAGATTAGAGGTGGCAGTAATGGCTCTCTCCCTCTCATGATCGTGAACAGAGCTCAGCCACAATTCGATGTGCTGCAAATAAAGAAACCAGAAAGGAAACATATAAAAACAACACACCCAGATCAAACTGTAGAAAAAAACATGGCACTTAAACATCACCATCATTGAAACTAGGATAAGAGCCACCATTACGGAGGCTGACAGGTGCCACATTTCAATACCCTGTGATATTAGGTTTATATGCATTGAGTAATATTAGAAAACTGGAATACATAAAAACTGTATTCAATAAGTAATTCATTATATGGTCCTCAGTAATATGTAGTGATTTCATTTTATGAGGTAAATATAATTATTTCATGATTTAATACATTATTTCACGTTCCTGAAGCACAGCATGAGTTAATTTAAACTGTCACAGATCCATCAAAGGAGGAGGCGGGTCTATGGCGGCTCTCATAGAAACCGTTGGATTGGCTGCTTATTACTCAGCAAAATGAGAAAAGGCGGAATTAATTCAAAAATGTGTTTCAATTTATTTACAGCCATCATTATGAGGCAATTCAAATATAAGTAACTTATGAAAGAGTTTGCTGGGGTCTGGTTTGGTGGCAGCTGCCAGAGACTTCAGCAGAATCAGCGTTAGCCCCGCCCACTGACTACGTTCTACTCCCTCATTAACTTTACAGAGGTCTACAGGTGCTGGTCATAAAATTAGAATATCATGAAAAAGTAGATTGATTTCAGTAATTCCATTTAAAAAGTGAAACTTGTATATTATATTCATACATTACATACAAACTCATATATTTCAGATGTTTATTTTGTTTAATTTTGATGATTACAAATGACAACAAATGAAAATCTCAAATTCATCATATCAGAAAATTAGAATATTGTGAAAAGGTTCAAAATTGATGGCCCCTGGTGCCACACTCTAATCAGCTAATTAACTCAAACCACCTGCAAAAGCCTTTAAATGGTCTTTCAGTCTAGTTCTATAGGCTACACAATCATGGGGAAGACTGCTGACTTGACAGTTGTCCAAAAGACGACCATCGACACCTTGCACAAGGAGGGCAAGACACAAAAGGTCATCGCTAAAGAGGCTGGCTGTTCACAGAGCTCAGTGTCCAAGCACATTAATAGAGAGGCGAAGGGAAGGAAAAGATGTGGTCGAAAAAAGTGTACAAGCAAGAGAGATAACCGCACCCTGGAGAGGATTGTGAAACAAAACCCATTCAAAAATGTGGGGGAGATTCACAAAGAGTGGACTGCAGCTGGAGTGAGTGCTTCAAGAACCACCACACACAGACGTATGAAAGACATGGGTTTCTGCTGTCGCATTCCTTGTGTCAAGCCACTCTTGAACCACAGACAGCGTCAGAAGCGTCTTGCCTGGGCTAAAGAGAAACAGGACTGGACTGCTGGTGAGTGGTCCAAAGTCATGTTCTCTGATGAAAGTAAATTTTGCATTTCCTTTGGAAATCAAGGTCCCAGAGTCTGGAGGAAAAGAAGAGAGGCACTTCATCCACGTTGCTTGAAGTCCAGTGTAAAGTTTCCACAGTCAGTGATGGTTTGGGGTGCCATGTCATCTGCTGGTGTTGGTCCATTGTGTTTTCTGAGGTCCAGGGTCAACGCAGCCACATACCAGGAAGTTTTAGAGCACTTCATGCTTCCTGCAGCTGACCAACTTTTTGGAGATGCAGATTTCATTTTCCAACAGGACTTGGCACCTGCACACAGTGCCAAAGCTACCAGTACCTGGTTGAAGGACCATGGTATCCCTGTTCTTAATTGGCCAGCAAACTCTCCTGACCTTAACCCCATAGAAAATCTATGGGGTATTGTGAAGAAGAAGATGCAATACACCAGACCCAACAATTCAGAAGAGCTAAAAGCCACTATTAGAGCAACCTGGGCTATCATAACACCTGAGCAGTGCCACAGACTGATCGACTCCATGCCACGCCGCATTGCTGCAGTAATACAGGCCAAAGGAGGCCCAACTAAATACTGAGTGCTGTACATGCTCATACTTTTCATGTTCATACTTTTCAGTTGGCCAACATTTCTATAAATCCTTTGTTTTTATTGGTCTTCAGTAATATTCTAATTTTCTGATATGATGAATTTGAGATTTTCATTTGTTGTCATTTGTAATCATCAAAATTAAACAAAATAAACATCTGAAATATATGAGTTTGTATGTAATGTATGAATATAATATACAAGTTTCACTTTTTAAATGGAATTACTGAAATCAATCTACTTTTTCATGATATTCTAATTTTATGACCAGCACCTGTAAGTAGAAATATAGAAGCTGGAGTTGATCATCAAACCTGCTGGAAATTAATTAGCAATATGTTTTAAAACTTTTCCCTTTTCTCTAGAGAAAATTATGACGGAGTGAAAGAAAACTTTATTTATAAATTCCGTCTATTTATTTCCAATTTTAATAAATTAATGATACATTTAAATAATCATTTAATTAGTTATGTATTTATTGTATTCTGGCACTCATCAGCCTCTGCACTCCATTTTTAGAACATGCATTTAAGTTTATCACAAGGATTCATCAAAAAATGAAGATGAGAGTGAAACATCAAGCTTTACCTTAAAGATACTCTGCAAGCCATCAGGACTGCGTTCCCTCGCCAGAACGCTCCTCAGAAGCTCCTGCAGAGCAGCCAACGTGTCTTTGTACAAAGCCTGGAGAGAGAAGACGGGGTGTTTTCAGTTCCCTAATGTTTTGCAACTATAAAAGTGAAATGAAGTCAAAGCATCTGTCCTAATATTTTTTTTTTATAGTAATATTTTTAAATACTGTCTTATGGTAAGAGTTGTTCTCTCCTTAAGTTTTCAGCTGTGGGGCTTGAGAGTCACTGAATTTCAATTCCTTAATATGTCGTTTGTGTTGCAGAAATCGATGTTAAAGCTGAATTTGAAGCAGCACCAAAACAACACGTGTCTGTTGATCTGTTACTTGATCTGTAACTCACCTTTCTCTGCTTGGGGTCAAGGTTCTCCTCATCTTTTGTTTTTTCTGGAGTGTGCGTGTCAGGAGGCAGGGAAAACACACTGTTCACGCAGACCTTCAATAAATCAAAGCTCTCACTCTCACCTAACGGAGGGTCCAGGGGTCTGAAGCATTAAGTCAAGGATTAAACTCTAGAAACGCATAAGGACTGCAGACCAATAGCTTCTGTGCAGTGAATAAATTACATTATGAAGGGTTAGAAATCACTGACAAGCTACCAAATCAGGGGATTTGTAGGATTGTCTGTTGGGTTATTCTAGAAACTGTAGTTCTATGCTCTCAAACAATTCAGTTTACTTTCCTATTTTAGTTACAGCTTCCCAATAAAGCTCATATACAAAAGGAGAAATTGTTTCTGGTTTTGACGCTCATCTGGTAACCCTATATCACTTTACAGTTTGAAAGTATTAACAATGTGAAGGCTATGTTTGGATTGATGATAAAATGCATCAGACTTAAGAGCCTTAAAGGTGCAGTAGGAGATCTTTTCTGAAGCATTTTTTACCATATGGCTTGAAGATCTCCCAACAGCCGCTTAGCAAGTAGTGAAATAGAAGGTCTGGAAGTGAAACTAAAATAAATTGTCCTCGCCACAGTGTGAAATGAACGAATAATCCCAACCAATCACTAGAGACAATCCGTGGTACACTATTGGTTCCTGACACGTCAATCATGGTCGTCTGCTTGCCACCCACCCCTGTGCGCGTACCCTGACACATGAACGAATCGACACCCCCCACCACCCCTCCCAATGCTCGTGCAGGACACCATGGCTGGGGGCTAGCCACTGTTATGCTACGTTCACACAAAAAGCAGCAAAAACGTATGAGCTGCTTCATTGTTGATGCTTGTACAAGTTTAGTTCTGATGCGTGGCTGAAGCATCTCTGCTGCTGTAGCTGCACGGTGGAAAAGGTGGGTCTGATGTGCTTTTCTTTGCCTCTAACAATGGCAGCTACACTTGCTGTGATCAGTGGGTATAAAGTAGTTTGAATCTATTTTGAAATGAGAAAGTCCACCTGAAAACATGGTCAGTGCAGTGAGTTCATCCAGATTACAATCCTGTCTTCAAATATTACTTCTGTCGGAGCCGCTCAGACCCCCGTACACCGGACGTGCGCTGTCACTAGAAGAAGTTTTATTTAGCTGTCTAGCTACTAATGCTACTGCATAGCTAGTCAACATTTAGACACAAATAAAAGCCTAAACAACAGATAAAGCGCCCTGAAATTATTTCTATTTTTCAATAAAACAATAGTCTAAATGCAGGCTGCACTGTGAGTTGGGCAAGCCCTCCTTTAATTACAAGGTGTACTTTCTCAAATATGCAAACATGGTAAATCTTAAAGGAGCCAAACACAGTGTGCTATAAATGTTACAACCTGGTTATGATTAGGGAGGATCTTCTACTTTTCTTTGCAGGGGAGTTGCGGCAGAATCAACTCACGAAACAAAGGACGATATGATTAGCGTATCACACTTCTATCGTCTGAAAGTTGCAGACCATTGATAAATGGTTTCATGTCAGCCATGTTTTGAGCTTTTACTTATCAGTTATATGTCATCAATGTTAGAATTTATGCTCAGAATACTTTAATTACATAATTAATTGGATAGAAAACATGGATCCCTTCTAAAAACCTCTTTCCTCAACGTGACAGTAATGGATAGAAATGAAGGATACATCAGGTTGGCACAGGTGGTCATCACCAGGGGGCGTACAGGAGTCCTTAATGAATCAGATGGCTCAGACTTCATGAAATCCTGATCAGTGAAAGTAGACGACAAGAATAAAAAAAATAATAATAGTAAAGCTAAATATTATTGAAAAATGTGATAAAGCTCCATGTTTGTTCCTAAGCTATAATCATACTGACCAGCATAATGGTGATGAGCTCCTGCTTGCGAGAGAAGATGTAGCCTTGTTTCTTCACACACCTAGTGATAGCTTTGGCTATGAGCCCAATACTCTGGATCAAACTAAGCTTCATAGTCAGGTCCTGAGTGAAAACAAAGATAAACGGACAAGAAACATTAAAATAAAGAAAGTAATCGTGCAAACATGATTTTTTTTTTCCAAAAGGCAAACCACCCAACAGAAGCAAACGTGTTAATCAATCCAACAATGTTATGGCAGACTGATCCACCATGCCTAAAAAGATGGAGAGAAATCTGAAATTATAGCTGCAAGATTAAGAGAACTTTCTAAAAACAGAGGACCAACTGTAGGCCCTCCCAGTCCAAAAAGCATCAGATAAGTCCAAGGCTATGTTTACACAGCAGGAAAATATGACCTGCGTTGCATATTTTCCCGGCATTTTGAACAACCCAATTCCGATCTGATTTGATCCACTTCCCTGTGCTACTAAATGGGATAATTATCAGCTAGTTTTCAAAATTTCTGTAGTCTTATGGTGAGGGCTACCACTACACATTCATACAGACTTCTCCGCAGCATGTCTGATTGCTTTGCTGAAGGCTGTTTATTAATAGTTGATAACTATTAACCATTTATCAACTATTAGTTGAGATATTTTTTCTTACCTTCCTTTGTCTTTTTATGATGTGCTAATAAACTGTCGGCTGGCATTGCGCAAGGGTATAAAAACATCACAGAGACACCAGCATGTATTATTATGCTTTGTTTGCTGTAATCAATGCTTTTTTAACTCTGACTTTCACATCCATCATTAAGTTTGCAACCAGTGGGTATCACTTCCTTCTGCATGTTCGGGTTTTTTTTTAGTGTTGCACCGATACCAATACCAGTATCGGACAGGGCTCTGATCCAGCACTAAAATGTTGGTATCGGCGGATACTGACAAATATCCATTTTTAGAGCCAAGAGTTTATGCTATTGTCACCCATTCCAGGTAAGCAATAAAAAGTTCTACTGAATTCACTTTGTATTAGTCTTTTTCCTGCTGCACAAAGATAGGCAGCAGCTTGACATGATGGTAATTATTTTTACATCCAAGTAGCATGCCGTTCTTCATATATACACACACATGATGGTATCAGGATCGGCCAATACTGCACAGCCAGGTATTGGGTATCGGTATTGGGGCCAAAAATCGGTGCAACACTAGTTGTTTTGGTTAAAATGCTAAAAGATCAAATTGGAACTCAGCATCTGGACCTGCTGTGTGAACATAGCATAAGGCTTTGGAGAAAATAGAATTAGAAATTACAAGAGCATTTCACACTGAATGTTAGTCATTGAGGAGGGATATAAGAGCAGTCCACCTTTAGGCAACTATCAAACAAGAAGGATGCATAGAAAACAGGAAATTCTTAGAAAGACAGATGTAGGCATTTTATAGGTTGATCCGTATAGTGATAATGATCTACATCATTTAGTTGATATAATGACCAAATGATTAACTTTACATTTATGCAAAAATTTAAACTATCGATCCAAACAATCCCTGTCGAAAGCAAAAGATCTTGTCACTTTTTTTAATTCATTAAGTTTCTGTAAGTTGATACAGATCAATGTTCCCTCTAAGCTGTGCCATTGTGAATTTGTTCACTCCTCGCTCAGTCACAGTTAACAAGAAAGTCTTTGTACTGCATTAAATAAATCCAACATAAACTATAAATCAAATAGACCAATAAAATCTTTTTTTTTTCTGTATCATTTTTAATCTGTGCATCATTTGTTTTTCAACTTAAAGCCAAAAATTAAAATACAAGAAACAGGTGTTTTTTTTTTTACCCTAAAATTTTGTTACATAATATAGAGTAATGAGTAATTCATTGCTATAATATATATATATATATATATATATATATATATATATATATAAAAAACAATAAATAGGGAATAAATGTATTTTAATTTTATTTTGTTTGGGGCTCTTATAGCATGTTGTGTTTGTGACCTCCATTATGAATTACTTCAGCCTGCTGGGCTCTGGAAATGCAAAACATTGTTCCCCTATGAAGATCTGTTGCCCCTATGTTGGGGGAAATTCAATTGGGAGCACTGCTGCAGCCAGAGGCAGTGTGGTGAAATATTTGGTTCCCCACAGCTATTGTGGCGCACAATCTACTCTTCAATTCCACTTTTAAAATATCACAATTTTTAGAATAAAAAAAAAAAGCATAGCTTTAAGAGTTGTGTTTAATTTTTTTTTTTTTATTAAACGTCAGTGTCCTTTAAAAAAGAAGTTAAGCTAATGTCTGAATTCAGGGTATCAGAGAGCTAAAGCTGCTTAAATAAATAATCCAACATGAAGAAGAATGTGTCAGAGCTAAAGCTGCTTAAATAAATAATCCAACATGAAGAAGAATGTGTCAGCCTAAATTATTGATCAGTCCAGGCTTCCAGAACAATGAAACTAACAGCCCTGCTGTCCAACATGCACACAGTTGATGACGTACCTGTTCTAAATTTAAGTACATTATGAAGCTAAAATTTAAACAGGGGCCAATCAGCACATTCTCTGATATTTGGCTTTTTCTTTCATTTTAAGTGGGCCAAATCAATTAAATTAAAAATAAATTAATGAAAACTGCCGCTGTAATCTCTTATTTGTTTAATAAACAATTTAACAGGTTTTTAACAAGTTCAACATTGGTGTGTGGCCTCAGTGTAAACATTTGATGTCGCTCATGGTCTTTAGCTCAGACACATGAAAAATTAGAGGGAACACTGATACAGATGTCGATGTGGTAGAATGGTAAGAATATCCTACAATATCGATCGCAGACTTGCATATTAAATATCAGAAGTATTGTATGTCGACAGATTTTGCTATATCAGTGAACATTGCAGTGTCATCCACACAAATCTGTATATTATTAGCATAAAAATAATAAAGTTGGTAATTTACTCCCCTAATATTAGTTAGATAAATTAAACAGCTACATGTGACATCATCAATAACAATATGCTATATACTATATATTGTATGTTTTATATTTTATATAGCTATTAGGGGTGGAACGGTTCACAAAATAAAGGGTGCGGTTCGGTTCACGGTTTCGTGGTCACGGTTTTCGGTTCGATATATGTTGATTGTTAGCCTGACATGTTGGTCCTGTTGCTGTTAGCATAAACAAAACGTGTTGCACAATGCTTGACCACTGTTGCACTTTTATCCACAACTTTCTTTCCGCCGTCATCGTAGGTCACTCTAAATGCAAAGTGGTCCCATACAGCAGACCTATAAAGTGCTGCTGGCGCATCTTCCAACTCCTGTTCTTTCCCTCTCGCTATACTCACACAATTCTCCACAACAACTGATTTTTTTCTGCTACACCCGGCTACGCTGCTTCGCTTCTTCTGCTTCTTGTTTACTACTGGTGGTTGGCTTTGGTCGCAGTACCACCACCTTCTGCTCTGGAGTGTAAACTCTTTGCCTATGAGAAAAAGGAGCAGCGCATGAACCGAACGCAACACACGCGAATCGAACCGAGACAGTCGAACCGAACGATTCTGACGGTTTTCATAAACCGTTCCATCCCTAATAGCTATAGATTCTATATTCTGTATATAATTTGCACCATCCATACCTAGTCAGATTCTTTGTGAGTTCAAACCTACATGGCAATAAACTTGATTCTGAATAAATGATAATTATTCCCCATCCATAGTTAATAACGGCATTTAATCTCAACTAAAAATTTGGAAGAATTTTCTAAAAAGGACAATAATGTCTCCATATTGGTACAGGACCAAATGTGAAGATGAAGGTTTTTCTAAAGTGCTTTTATTTAGAAGGATTTAAATTATAATGAAGGCCTTCTTCATGGTCACTATCATGTAGTGACACAAGGTGTCAGTAGATGATAAAAAGAAAAACTCATGTTTGTGTGTGTAAAGTCTACAAGAAAGAAAAGCGAAATTTTAAAGCAAGGCTACTGATGAGACTTGGCAAACAACATGGAAGACCATGAAAGTTACTAGGAAGGTGAAGTTATAATGCAAAAATTATATCCTGAACCGGAACAGATTTATCTAAACTGCACATTATGTGAATGCACAACTATTATTTAGTTAATCACTAATTTATTACTAATTCATTACTCTTGAATTTCACAAAGATGAATCAGCGTCAGCAAAAGCTAGTAGAAAAAGCCATTTTAAAGATTGAGATCAAGCCGAGTTTGATTTTCTTTAATCAGAGCTTTTTAAAAAAAAATATTTGGCAAAATTACCCACAGAGGAAAATTTAGACAGAGAAGCAAGAAAAAAAAAAAAACTCAAACAGAAAAACAAAACCTGTTGATCCCATAACAATACCTTCGTCTCTACTTTAATCCCAAGAACCTGTACAAAAAGAGGCGACAGAATAATGAGGCCATATACTGTACACACAATTCTAAACAACAACATTAACTCTGATTTTGAAACCAGCACCTTTAATGAGCTAAAACCTGGAAAGAGAAATGGTCAAAAATTACCCAATAAACGGATAATAAATGCAAAATATCACACATAACCCTCTTTTGTAACACATTCTGTTCGTTTGTTGATAAGCAGACTACTAGTTACATGAGGACTGGATCAATGATCGCCTGCTTTGTTGTATTGGGAAGGAATATTTCTGCTTCTCAGATGTTAAAAGTTCCTATGAATCATAATGTGCTGCTGCTTAGATGTTTTAGATATTTTAAAAGTAGCATTTTTATGTTTATTTGTTCTTTTGCAATGAATTCAACTATATTTGCATGGAACTAGTTACTAAATTTGGTTTGCATTTCTTACAACGATGTTCCTAAATCCTTTCTAGCTACGATAATCTCTACAGACTACTAGTTTTGTAATCTGTCCGTTAGGGATGGGCGATATGTTATCGTGTGCGATATATCGTCAAAGAAATTGCTCATGGTAACAATTTGTCATCTCGCGATAAAAACGATAAACTCCCGCCGGTGACGTATACTGCGCGTGACACACCTGCAGTCCAACTCACGTGCGAGCCATGCGCAAACAACAAGGATGGTGGAAGGTGGAGGAGATGTGCCCCAAGAACTGGTTCCTAAAAGAGGCTCCAGCTCTGTTATCTGGAACTGGTTTGGATTTAAAAAGTCTGTTACGGAGCAGAAAGTCGTAATATGCAAAGTTTGCAGACAACCTGTGACGACAAAGGACAGCAACACTTCCAATTTATTTCACCACCTAAAACACAAACCGGAATATGATGCTAGTTAGAAGATGCGCTGCGATGCAGCAGAAGCCTCGACTTCGAAAACCTCTGTTAAGAAACCGACTGCCACTCAAACAAAACTAGCCGACGCGTTTGCTCATTCCACACCATATGACAGCTAAAGCAAGCGATGGAAAGATTTAACAGAGGCCGTTGCACAGAGAGGTATTTCAGTTTTTATATTCTTTTTAAATTTATCTAAATTATTTATTTTTATTTCATTGTTTAGCATGCTGATGATCCTACCAAGTATTATTTCAGGTTTTACATGTTTGTTGGAATTTATTGAAATTATTTATTTCTATTTTAGTAATTAGATTTTTCTGTTTTTTCCCTTTATTTATCATGCCATTTGCACATTTTTGTAGCCCAACAGCAAAAAACGTTGTTACAGGTTGATATAACATTTGAATTTTATGTTTAGTGAAGTGAGTGTAATGTATGTTAGAACTTGCACTGGTATTTATTTATCCAATATATGGCATGTTCCAGCAACTAGTAATTTACACATCTATTTATATTAGGAGGTGATTACTGATTAGTTTTAATTTTCAGTGAAATACTTTTAAGTTCTGTTTCTCAATTTATCAGATTGTATTTACAGTTGCACTACTTATATATATATATTTGCTGTGTAGCATTTAAATAAATGTGAAATTTGTTCTCATATTTCAGGCTTGTTTGATTGGTTTGATACATTAGGCTGATATTGTGTTTTTGTTTTGTTTTTTATCGTCACTTATCGTTATCGTGGTAAAACCTAGAAATTATCGTGATAAATTTTTTTGTCCATATCGCCCATCCCTACTGTCCGTATGCATGTTACCTTAGTATTGAAGTGTTTACTGATGCAGCGTAGGATGTCCTGATCGACGCGGTTAAGAATCTTCTCTGACGGTGCGTTCAGAGCCACGTGGCCGTAGCACAGGATCAATGTGCTTTTCACCTTCTCCACTTCCACCTCATTACGCTCCTGTTGGAATAAAACATTTTACATCCAGCTAAAAATGCTTCTTTAAAGTCCCCTCTGAAGACAGTTTTTACTTTGAGCAGGTTGAAGATACTGGGTGACTTTTTAAAGGCATCCGATTTGCCAAACTCATCCAGCTTGGCTAAGGTTCCCTCCAGGTGGCTGTTGGCACACAGACCAACACCAGTGGCAACTCCCTGAAGGAAAAAGTTAAAAGTTAGGCCAACGTAAGATAGACAGAAACTCATATCGCACTTTTATTTTGATGTTTCAACCACCTCTCTTTCAATAGCATCATGGTGTCGCGCCGCGAGGAGAACTTCCTGTAGTTGCTTTTTCACAACCTCCTTATTTAAACACTGCTGGAGAGTCACTCCGATACATCGATACAGGAAGCTCTAAAAACCGAAAACAAAGAAAGGATTATTTTCTAATCATAAAAAAAATATAAATACTTTTACAACCCATGCTGCCTGTTACACAAACACTTGACATTAACACAATAAATCATTGATAGACATTCAGGTTATCTCCAACCACAACTTAAACAGTTTGTGTAACGACCCTTTAACCCAAGAACTACATAGAGTCAGGAGACATTACTGGAAATCATCCGAGTATTTAGTTTTGACTTGCTTTAAGAGAATAAATTTACTATGTGGATTAGGGCTGCAACTAACAATTATTTTGCAAATCCATTAATCTGTTGATTATTTTTTTGATTAATAATCTGATAGCCAAAGGTTCCTTAAAGAAGATATTTTACAAAATTAAACCAGGTGAAACTAAAACTTTTCCCTTTCAGGAGGTCTGGATAGAGCATATTGATTAATGATATCAAATATTGATAATTCTGATATAATTACTGCTCTAAGTGGGCTGCTCTGTCATGATTAAGAGTCTCTATACTCCAGCTAACGAATAATCAATTAATTAGTTGGCGATATTTTAAAAATCATGATTAATCGATTAATTTCTTTTAGCCCTAATGTGGATGCCATCAGGTTCTTTATAACCTTTATACATTACCTTCTCCTCCAGGGCGTTGTTGTATGTAGAAAGATATCTGGTTGCTTCAGCAGCAAACTGGCAAACCCACTTATCATCATCAATTGACGTCAAGGTCTTAGATAAAAGCTGGAGGGCAATTTCAAACAAATTCTCCTTAATAATGCAGTAAATCAGTTTTACCCTTCAGTTACTATCTACTAAATATTATAATATTTGCTGGAAAAGGTTAAAACATAAACAGACCTTCAGCAGTTTGTCATCCCACTGCTTCTTATCCAGACTCTCTGCTGTTGACTCTGAGAACAACAACAAAAAAGTCTGAGGATAAATAGAAGTGAATGTAGATGAAACAAGTTGAGAAAGGATCTTGTCCATACCATCTAGTAGTGAAAGAAGAGGAGGTATTTCTTTCTCCCAGACCGTCTCTGTATTGGGGTGAATGTTGATGCTGAGGATGTGTAGGAGCGAGAGTGATGGAGCTCCGTGACCTCGGCTGTTGAAGGGAAAAGCAGCGTTGACCTAAAACACAACAAAAAAATTCTTAAAAATAGTCTGTAACTGGAATCTTAATCAGGGAAGAAATCAAAAAAACATAATAAACAACTCATATCCTGCAGTGTGTTACTAAATATCAGTCAGTGAGACAAATTTGCATTTGATCACAGTCTGCTTCTCCTCCGCCTCTTCCACCACATTGCAATTATTTTCCTGCAGCAATTAATTTACTCTGTAAATGCTGAAAAGGAATATTATGCAAATCCTGCTTTTAGCATATGGGCTCATGGTTAATTTGTCATGTGCAAATTGACTTACCAGCAGTCTGATCATCAGAGTGTGAGGAGATGGGAGATTTACTGATGGTGAGAAAAAAAAAAAAAAGAAGAAGAAGAATGCGGGACTGAAATTAATCATCAGAACAACACAAGCCATAAAAAACAACTTTTTTCCTTTTGATGACTTGTATGCTAAAGCTATTTTTTTCCCACATCTGCCCATTTTATTGCTGTCTTAATGAGTAGAAAGAATGCATTTTACAGTAAGCGTATATCAGTGACAGTCATCAAAGTATACCAAGCTTTTAAAAAGTTATATGCTGAAAACTGTTGGAATTTCTACGCTCAAAGAGCTGAAAGTCCTTCTTTCTCAGACGCCATAACAAATAATGTTCGGCAGTAAACTGGATATAAACAGGCTGCGACAACTTTACCTCACTAGAAATATCACCAATGTTTACCATCACTAAAGCCATGGATAGCAGGAGTGTGGGAACATACTGGAGCGCCCCCTGCACTCTAAAGAGGGGAGTGATATTTGTTTTTAATGTTTCACCCTGCAGCCACCCAGAAACAATGACAGGCCAGCTATAGCTGGCAGGAAAGCACCTTTGTTGTATCAGTTGGAGTTTGTTTTTTTTCCCACAACATTGACCTCAAATCTATTTTATTATTCTATGTGAACTAGCTTTAAACAGCCAGCACTTGTGTTAAGTTCATAAGACACTTTATTTTATTTATTTGTTTCCTTTGTCAGGTGTATTTTATTTGTTTTAATGCAAGCATTTGTGTTTGTGTCTTTGAACCTTAACAATGTTCAAAATAAATATGCAAATATAGTCAGAACATCTTCCATGTCTGCATGTGTTCCTTAAAATTGTGTTTTTTCTCAAAAAGATGAGAAAATGTTGAAATGTGACATAATTTTGGGAAATGTTATATATTATCTGCTGAAAAAAACGTAAATGGTTAAAATGATGTCCTGACTAAAACTAGAGCAAAATGTTGACAGTTTTTGTTGACTAAAACTAAACGAATAAAATAATGTTTTCTTGGACTAAAATAAAGACTAAAATGCTCGACTTACAGTGAACTAAAACTAGACTAAATAAAAATGGGATGATGTTGACTAAATGTGATAAAAACTAACAAACGATGCTGAAACTGGACTAAAACTGAAACTAAATTTGAAAATGGCTGGTAAAATTAACACTAATTGAGACAACTAAATACAAGATAGCAACAAAATGATCATAACAGTAAAATTCTTAAAAGCAGTACAACTATCAATTATTTATGATTGAATTAAATGCTGTGGTATCTTCACTGAGGGTTATTCTACTTTTAGGGCCTCATACAGGCTGCAGTCAGGTTCACACTTTTAAAGTAGAGACATTACACCCACCCTCCTGAGTGAAGTCTATCTTGAAGCTGGGCTCCTGATTGCTTTTCTTCTTGTTCCCCAAAACTATGAGACTTTTACAAAGAGGAGTAGTGGCAATACTGTACTGGGAAGGTGTGAGATAGTAAAGCAACTTGGGCCAGAGCACCTTTAAAACAAAATGTACATTGACATGAGAGACATGGTAAGATTATTAGTGTTTATCATCCATGACAAAGACGGAGGTAGATGTGAACGAGCAGATATTTACATCAGCTAGTCGGCCAACAGTGGTGGTAAGGAGATGGAGGGTGCTGTCACACATCGCCCTCAGGGCCTCGTTGGTCACATCCTCTGGGTCCGCATTGGGCCTTTGGTGGGACTTTGAGAAACGGAACACAAATACTAATCAGGAAACATTTACCTTTTAACATCAGCTGTTAAAAAATATCAGTTATATTAAACTTTATGAGTGAGGCCTTTCAATCTGTCTAGACATCAATTGGTTCGCTTCTGAGGTCACTGAACAGCTTTAATCATAGCAGAAACATTAAGTTAATTAAGTACATTTCCCTTTTCCTGCCATCTGTATATATGATGCACTCCTTAAACGGTTTTATTTTATACCACGGCTTTGCTTCCAATTCCCCTTCCTTAATTAACCTGAAACAAGCGTAAGCATCAAAGTCCTAAGAGATGTTTAAAGTTGGTTCTACCTGGTATGTGTCGTGTAAAGCGCAGTTTTGAACGATGAACCGGACCAGTAATTCCCCTCCCTCCAGTTCCAGGTAACCATGATGAGCCATTGCGCTGATTACCTGGACAACACGCTTCTTCACCTGCGAGACAAACCTGTCCTCATTCACATGCAATATGAGGAATATTTCTTAAGGGTCTGAAAGATTGAAGAGTTTTTAGACATTTCTTTCAACATTTCATAGTTTCTCATTTTTAGCCCCTTATTAAAATGTATAAACAGGAGCTAGGGGTCATGGTAAAAAAAAAAAATCCATCACTTTATTATAATCATGCTGACTATCAGAAAATAAAAAAGTGTAGAAATTATACATTTCCGGGCTACATTTTTGCTTTAATAGTCGTACAGACTAGGGAAATTCATAAAACTCCAAAATTTTATAACGTGAATAAAAAACCCCATTACCCAAAGAAAAACAAAAAGAAAGGACGACTCTTTGCTTCCTCAGTAATGTTACCTTGTTGCTGTGGTCTGCCATTGGCTGTCTAATACTGGCCAGAATAAGAAGCTTTTTGCTCTCCATTATAGAAGCTGTAAAAAAACATGATTTGAGTAAAAGGTGAACAAAAATATTTTTTTTAAAAATTCAAAGAAATTAATGTGTGATTGCACATTTTTCTCCTCACAGGAAGAGTTTATGAGGTGACGAAGCACAGCTAAGGAGCCCATCCTGCTTCGTTCATTGGTGTTCTCCAACTTCTGCAGAACATACATAACCAGTCGGTCTGGAAAAGAGTTGGCTGGAAGGAGAGAGAAAGAGAGCAGGAACAAACAACAGGAATGAACAGCTGAGGTGGATATGTTGACAGAAGGGCAAAGATCTTAAATAATTAAATAGAAAAAAAAGATAAAAATAGGAAAACAACAATTATGTAAAGGGGGGGGCTGTGCAGCAATTTTCCCAGTTAACAAGATTATGAGGAGGAGGAGACAGCCTAACTCACTAATGCATGATCTCATTACTACACTTGTGACTCCATAGAGCTACAGCCTGTAGATCAGGCAGCTGGATGAGGTTGTAAATGTTAACACACGTCTATTTTCAATGGAGAAAAAAAAAAAAAAAAAACATATTACCCAGCAAGCTAAAGCAACGCAATGCTTCATTGTGGTTCTTCACAGTAGGAGGGTCGGTGTAATCGACAGGAGCTGAAACCTGCATGAAAAAATATATATATATTTGATCTCTAATCTCATTTTGTTGTAAAACTTAAACCTGTGGATCCCACTTGCAGCCAAATTTGGGTTGTTGTTTTTTTTCCCTTCCAAACAAATCACGTATATTTTCAATCTTCCAACTAAGTATTGATTAATTCTTTCAAAAAAGAAGCAGAGGCTATGCTTGTGTGAGAGAACAATTACTACATCATCTTATCTTGGTGATAAGCTTGACAGAACAGCAGCCTCTGAGCATAAAATATCAAGATAAGATAAGAAATACCCTTAGTGTCCCATAGAGGGGGAGATTTGGCTCTGATAGTAAGAAAAATAAAATCACATAGAGGTAAGCACACAAAGTAATATGAAAATAACTACATAACTAAAAGTTAGGCTGCAGTAAAAGGGAAACAGACACCACTTAGAGATTTAGAAAAAGCGCATTTTACCTACAAAAGGTTATTAACTATAGATTTTCTAAAAGGATAAAAATATAAGACATACTTTGAAAGAGCTGAAAATATTAGCACAGAACTTCCTGCGCTCTACTAAGCCTTCCTGTTCTCGGCATTAAGTCTTGATCTCTTTTGCAGCCTGAAGGAACTGAAAACATGTTCACATGTTTTAGAAAATTAAGTTTGCCTTTTAATATTCTTTTGTATTTCAAAGCCTCTTTTGACTTAATTTTTAAGCACCTCTGACTCTAAACATAAGTCTGAGTTGTTCATTAACTTTCACAGAGTGAAAGTAGAGTTTAGGTGTGATGCATTCACTGATGAGGAAAAAAGATTTTTTAGTTTTCAATCAGTCATCAGCACTTAGAACTGGATGTTTTAAGTGCTGCTGTCTCTGTACATCAGAGTAACTTGTGCAAGAAACCACAAGAAAATGAGAAAAATCATAAATGTTCTTTTGAGTTTTTTTTACTTTTCAAATACAAGCTGTAGAAAAGAAAAACAGTTTCCTCAAAGGAAATAAAAATAAACCCCATGGTTCAATTCTATAATGCTTTACAGATTTTCTGCACGTCAATCAGGTCTTTTGAGGTTAAAGTTCACAGTAACGAGCATTGTTAAGGTGCTTTCATAGTCTTAAAGGAATAGTACACCCAAAACATGATTAGCCTTCATTTTCTACTCACCCCCATGCTGAACAAAACTCTGGAGTACTTTTTTGATATCTCAAATGCATCTGGAGATCTGGGAGGCTTCTTGCTGTCTGCTGACATTCAAATAATGGAGGTCTATGGTGACCGAGACAGAAAGGTCCATAAAAGTCCACAAAAACGTGTCAATATTCCTCCATACTGCTCGTCCAATGTATTCCAAGTGTCCTGAGTGGGTAGCATCCAGAATTTACTCGAAACGAAGTCATTTAGAACGTTTTAGAGCCTAAACAGTAGTGTATAGGATTTCCTAATAGCGCCCCCATGCGCGCTCACGATTCTACGGAAGCCGGCAGACCAAACCGGAAGAAAGTCGGCATTCAGCGTCTGCTCTGCCGATAATGCAAGCGTAGAAGAAGAAATGTGCTGTTTACCTGTGCAAAGAAAGAAACAACGAAAGAAAAATGTCTGAGGACTTCAGTATTGAGGAAGAGCATGAGTTCTTTGCCGAGCTGAATGCGCTGGTTTGGTCTGCCGGCTTCCGTAGAATCGTGAGCGCGCATGGGGGCGCTATTAGGAAATCCTATACACTACTGTTTAGGCTCTAAAACGTTCTAAATCACTTCGTTTCGAGTAAATTCTGGATGCTACCCACTCAGGACACTTGGATTACATTGGACGAGCAGTATGGAGGAATATTGACACGTTTTTGTGGACTTTTATGGACCTTTCTGTCTCGGGCGCCATAGACCTCCATTATTTGAATGTCAGCAGACAGCAAGAAGCCTCCCAGATCTCCAGATGCATTTGAGATATCAAAAAAGTACTCCAGAGTGTTGTTCAGCATGGGGGTGAGTAGAAAATGAAGGCTAATCATGTTTTGGGTGTACTATTCCTTTAAGTCCATGTAAGCAGATGACTGCCACAACAATGACATGTGACCTGACACAACTAAACAATCAGTTCACTCAAACTGAAGCTACCGTGTCCAACTCATTGTTCACTTGGAGTACCTGCTGATGCAGCGCTAAGAGAAGACCATCCAGCTGTGTCTCCAGCACTCTGCTCCCCATGTTGACCGAGGCTTCGAGGACTTGACACAAGCTCTGTTCAGAGCAAAGGGAAAGCATTAACCTCAGATTGACCTCAAAAGTCTGGTGTTGCAAAACTTAGATGCATTTCTTTTTAAAACTTGTTCAAGTAGGAGATTTTTATAAAGGTCCAACAATATATTCAGGAAAAACCAGCCAAAGTGGAAGAGTTTTGGACAGAACCCACCTTACTGATGACATAGTGCTCAGTGTTTTTCTTGTACAGGGACATGATGGCAGGGATGATTCGGGGGATCTGTTCCTCCAGTTTATCATTGGCCATCAGATGACACATAGAGCCCACTGCCTCACCCACTGTCAGCCTCAACTGGAGGACACACAAAGACAGGCAGGATATGAAGTGACAGACTGGCTGAAGAATTGAGTGTTCACTGGTCACGAGGAGCTAAAATGTTGGTAAGTCAATAAATAAAACATGAAAACCAAGAGGAGCATATCTACAAGATACTGCTTCACACAATTAATACAAAATAAAAGAAGAAATTATAGCAGAGATATTCCCTTCAAATGCATGAGCCTTAAGTTAACTTCTTAGTAGTCTCTATAATGATATATGATGGGTCCGATGTTACCTTCAATTATGTAGAACAGTGGAGGGACTGTTGGTCAGAGAATCTCTTTAATGTGGACCAACACAAACACAAAATCCTCGTGTTTCTTGGAGAAACGTTATTTCTTGGTAGAATAAAATCCTTTTTCTACCAACTACACCTAGAACATGCAACTTTACGCTAACATTAGGTTGTGTTATTCAGATGTTGTAGACAACCTTCAGTACTGATATTAGCTTTCTTTCTTTACCTTAGGCTCTCGGCTTTGTAACCAGTTATTGAAGAGAATGTCAAAAGCTGCATAGATTTCACTGGAGAACGCATCTTTTCTCACTGTAGGATCTGGCGCTTTGTCGAGGTTGGCCAAATACTCCAGGATACTTTCACTGAAATGACACAGCGCTGCAAGTAGAGAGGGAAGAGGAGAAAACAAAAAACAGGATATGTTGAAATTACTCCCTCAAAGAAATATGAGGGAAAAACATTTTATAGTGAAATTAACAGAAGCGTGTGGTGGAGGGGGTGGAGCTTTACCAGATGAAAAGACCCACTTCATGTTGTCCTGCTTGGCCATGCTCAGCATTGGTAACATGGTTCCCAGGATAGCATTAAGGAACGGTACCATCCCATAAACTAGGAAAACAGACAAAACCAGAATGAAACGGTCAAATTTTGCGGCTTGGTCTGCAACCATATTCTGGGCAGAACTATTTTCTTGTTGGTGTCTAAGAAACAGAAAGTGGAAAATGGGCTACTTTGAGAAAAACTATCCTCCAAGTTCTCCAGCAGTTTTTCGAGCGAAGTTTGAAACATTCAGTCCAGAAATGCAAATCCAGATATGAAATGTATATGAATGCCTCTGGTGACAGTCGGCAGGAAAGATTGGCATAAAAATCTATTAGTATAAGAAGTGGGAACCAACCTGACCTGAGTCCAAATCAAACCTCATAAATTAATTTTGCTGTTCTGTAGTTTGAAGTGAATACAATCCGATCCAATGTAATCACATATTTCTGTTTATAATCTTTTTAAATGTACTATATAAACAGAGAAACGGTCTCAAATTAAACAGAGCAATGACAGGCAAGACAGAAAAACAATCAGATATAAAAGTCTAGTTGTTAGAATAAAAAATAAAGATTATACTGACTAATATTTATTTAAATCGTTTAGCCATAAAAAAAAAAAGAAAAAGTACATATTCCTGTTGTTTAGTATTAATAAATTGGCTTTTATGGATTTTAAAAAAGTCAAAAATTCTCTCTATCAGTTCAAACATAATGAGTTTTTTGTTAAGATGAAAACAAAATTTTTAGATTAAAACTACCACTGAAAAGTCTTCCAAAACCCGACCACAGAAGAAACATAGAAAGGATGTTCTCAAGATGATTAAAAAAAACATCAGCATCATAAAAAAAGAAAAAAAGAAAACACAAATTAACTGAGAAAGGAGGTTGTAGGGTAAAATCAATTAAGCAATTTAAATGAAATTTAAAAATTAGGAAGATATCTGGTGCTTCCCCAGAGTATGCTGCTTTTTTATTTTTATTTTTTGGGGGGGGGGTTATCAACTGTATTGCACAAAGAAGAATAATTTAATGTGTTTCTTTTAAAGGAGCGACATAAAAAATTGATTTTGTGAGTGTGACTCAGTGCGTCTGCGTCAGAGACACGGAGGAGAGGCCTGCAGAGGAACGACCACAGACACAGAAAAATCTCCTGATCTGATCTGCCGTCATTCAGCAAGGCTAATAAAACTAATACAATTAACTACGAACACATAGAGGGGGTGAATAATTTACTGCTTTCTGTGATCTTGAGGGGGAGGGTGAGGGAGACACTGATCTCTCCCGTTATCATCAACTACTGATGCGTTCAGCTGCCTTCAGTTGGTCTGATAAATCTTGTAGTTTCTGATAGGCTGACATGTTGTTGGCTTAAAATAAATAGTACTTTTCAATGGCAGCATAATCTCTGCTAAGTTTAGGAACCTGATGTATTTCAGTGGATCCTCCTGCTTTTGGAGCCAGGTTAAAAACAATGAAGTGAGTAAAATTCTGAGCAGGTTTAACAGGTTCCTGTTTTTTTTTTTCCCCAACAGTCACTGAATACTTTCCTGCCAAAGTTGTGACTTCCCATTCAGTTCATCTGAGCCGCTCTGTGACCTCTTAGATAGAAAGGTTTCTTCCCCTTTTTGTCTCTCACCGTTTGAGTCAGATAGGTTGGCCAATGTTTGGACCACGAAGAAGTGAGGTAGAATCCCTGGCTGGAACTTGCTTAGTATCTCCTCCATGATGTCATTGATGTGTTTGTTTCCCACAGCGACCAAAATGTTACTGGCTGCCTGCTGCCAGTCAGGAATGACCTCCTAAAAAAATAAATAAATAAAATAAAATAAATAACTAAGCATAGAACTCTTGGATCTGACTTTGAGATGAATTTACTTTGTGTTTTTTTAAAGAAAGAAAAACACCACTTCACCTTGGATCTGGTCATTTCATCTGAAGCCAGGGAGATTATGCTCTTTATTCTAGGAGCACTGATCTCCTCTATCCTGCAGCCAACAACCAGCTCAATGGTCTGAAGAACCACAACTCTGTGACTTACCACCAGCTGCACAAGAGAAAAACACAAAGAGTGAAGAATACACCAACATACATGAAAAAATAACACGACAAAGCAATATAAAGTATGTTTTCCAGCACTTAGTTGCAGCACTTAGCAGGAAAATGAGCACTCAAATTTTAAAAGCTGCTTTCTACAGAGACATCTGCATTACAGAGATTGTTTGATTAAATTCATTCTTCTTCCTTTTTGTGCTGCATCACTCATGGTTTAAAAATGTTTCCTTAATGTAATGTCGCAATAAAAACAGAGATAGAACGATCAGTGGCTGTGATAAGATGGATCCGTTTATATAGTCACCAGTTGAGTCAGAGAGCTGAAGGCAGCAGGAATAAAGTAGATCTTTAGGCCTTTAAACCTCACGGTTAAACATGTATAATTTATCAACAGGGCTGTTATAACAGTCATTTAGATTAAAACTAAAACAGTTAAATTAAAATCTGTGAACCAATTAGATCAGCGATCGTGACACCACGTCTATTATTTTACTGAATCCGTTACTAATTTAATTTCTGATGCCGTTTCCAAGATCACATGGTGAGATGAGCGTTGCTTCCAAAGTAGTTTTGACACAGTTTCATTTCCTAATTTATAGATCAAGATGTTCATCAAAGCATGCAGCAGCCAGTTTGCAGGAGGGTGTTTTCTCTAACACAATCCACTTTCTGGTTAGATATTAGCTCCTCAGAGGGAAGTTAAAGGAACTTTCACATGACCAACTTTATGATCACACTGTCGTCGACAATGTGAGCAGAGCTGACTATTAGTAGGTTAGATCTCAGATAAATATTTAGAGGGAACAACTGTCTCTAGGGTATAGAAATTGACCTAGTTGGAAATAACTTGTCTTTATGTAATCAATGTGACAAAAAAACAAAAAAAACAAACGGAGTGAAAACAGGGACAGAATTCCTTTTAATAAGGTTTTAGATAGAAAAGTCCAGTTATAGCTCTTTAGCCATTAAGAGCAAAAATATTTAAGACTAAAATCATATTGCAGCTCTTTATTTTTATATCTGACTTTTCTTTTGCCTGAAATAGTTTTGCATGATCCTTAATTAAATACGACCGCCATCAGACATCAATCTGAACGGCTCAAGACATCAAAGCCACTCGCACACACAGGGGAATGTAGAAATTACACTACAATAAGACTAACCATTATTTTTCAAATTATATTTTTTTGATTAATCATCGGATAGGCAAAGGTTCTATAAAGAAGATTCTTTACGGATTAAAACCAGGGGAAACTAAAACTTTGCCACTTGAGGAGTTCTGGATAGAGCAGATTCACAGACAAAAATTTTTTTTTTATCCTAAATTTTTATATATTTTTTACAATTCTGATATAATTACTGCTCTTAGCAGGTTGCTCTGTCAGTTAAAGGCATTTTTTGAGTTCATACTCCAGTTAAAAATTAATCGATTGCATAATTAGTTAATGATTATTTCAATAATTGATTAATCGTGATTAATCCGATTAATTTAGGCCTAAACTACAGCAAACCGTTTACAGAAGTAATGATGACTGTCACTAAAAGTGTTCAATAAAGCAATATAAGAAGAACACTGTGTGACAGTGGTTGCTGGTGTTGTTATAAATGTCCTGAGCGATGGTATCTGACAGCATCATGGCTCCATCATTAACAAAGAAGAAAGGTCAGTAAAAACAGAGCACCTGTTATCAGTGATCAGTGATGATGGTGTTGCTGCAGAGATGTCTGCATGGATGTGAAGAGGGAGTCCCAAATATGACGTAAAAACATTAATGTTCAGACTGCAGACTTTTTTTAAAAACTGTTTGATCTGATGGAAATGGATCAAACTGGAGGTTTTGGAGGATGAAAAGATTCAATTGTGGGAAAAGAAATTCAGTTTACAGAGGGATTAAAAGTAGTGAAGAAAATTTTTCTAAACAAAAGTTATCTGTCATTTGATTTATGCATCTTGATTGTCCAATTCAAGACAGTAGAGGAATGTCAGGTTTTACCTTGGGGTGTTTCAGCAGGTAGTCCTGGCACATGGCTAACACTCTGTCTGGCTGCTGTTTCCCCAAAGTCAACATGGACTTTCTGACCTGATCCTGGACCTCAGAGTCCTTATCGTTGGCTGCATCTAGCAGAGCCAGAGTCACCTCTACAGAGGAAACAATAGCAGGAAAAAAAGAATTACGTAGGGACAATTGTGAATCAGTGTAAATGAGAATAGGCAGCTGAACCTAAAAGAAACTATGAAAAAAATGTTTAAGCCGATTATGAGGAAATAAAGCTGGAAGACTTACGTTCTACATCTGTATGGTCCATGGTGGCTAACCTGAAGCCAGTGAGCCGAAGTAGAGACTCTCTCCTGGGGAGAGATGAGCACAGGCTCCCTGGAGCCAAAAAGTAAAAAATGTAAATTAGTATTAATGCATGCTTCAGTTAACCTTTTTCAGGCTAATAGATTTTTGCTTTTCTTTCACAATTCCCAATTTTCTCCTCAGGACTACAAGAGAAGAAAAAAAAAATCTTTTTTTTTAATACCTTTTACCAAATAGAACCAGCTGTTTCAAATCAAATGTTGCTTTTATTGTAGCCAAACAGTGGCTGCAGGTTCATGTAGTTAATAAATGATTTTTTAAGTGGAAAATTGGGGTAGTTTCTTTAGATTACTGTCCTGCTTATCATTAATCAAGAGCTGATCGAGGGAAAATTAACCAATTCTGATTATTACTTTACTAACTGATGGTGAGCAACCTTGTTAAGATGCAACAAACAGCTGTTTGACACATTAAAAATTACTAGTATTAGTATAAACTTTTTAAATGTAATAGATTTTCCCAAGATTGTGCAACTAGAAAGCAATGTGCTGTGAGTTATGCACTAACCCACTGGCTCATAGAAACACGAAGCCTGGTGATGTTTCTAATTACAGCCTCACACACTTTAAATCTAACGCTCAGGAAAAGGGAACAGCTATTACATCATGGTTTTATTTATATAACCGGATATCACACGAGTTTTCTCCCAAAATCTGTTCAAAAAGCTACAAATTAATAAGGACAAAAGCAGCTCCGACAGTTATTGAAGCTTGAACACTGTGACACTTCCAGGTATTAGCCTCCTGCGCGCATTGGTCAGTTAAACACGGGAATAAAAGTGTTTCTGGATTAAAATTGTTGTTAATTTTACCTTCTGAGGCGGTGAAGCTGCTGCACCGACCTAAACCTCTGACGCTGGTTAGCATGCTAAGCTAGCTGCTGTTGCTACGGAAGGAAAAGCTAGTCACCTCTGAGGATGGCAACCAGAACTTTAATGAGGCTCATTTAAACAGAACTCACTCACCGCCTTCCGCAGGGGGTCCAGGAAGCAAACCGAGTCCAGTCACAAGTTTAGACCTTAGTTTAGATGGGTCTGACAGGCAGAGGCGCAGTCACAGTGAGTAGTGAGAGAAGCAGGTGTAAACACGCCTGGTCACGTGCTTGTTGTCAGCTGCAAGCTGGAGGGGGGCGTTCCCGCCGCATAGATCTGAAACACATAGATATGCTTCTACCGCTGCTGCTCTACTCCAACCCGCAAAAGTATAAGTTTTTACTTATGGATTTTAGTAAATTATAGTTACGATGCATTAAGTAACCTATTAGAGAGAGATTATTCTAATACTTATTTTTCTTTCTTTATTTTGTAGGGGACTGAGCATTTAATTGTTCTGCTCATTTCTGATTTTAAAAATTCAGAACAAAATAAAAAAAGAATTGTGAACAATTCAGTTCAGTTTATTTCTGTAGTGCCTCTCAAGGGACTTTACAATTCAACCAGATCATGCTGTAAAATTGATTCAAAGTTTTCTATCTAAGGAAAACCAGCTGATTTCGTCAACTGGTTGACGTGAAGGCAATCCCTAACACTAAGCATGCTTGTGGCGATAGTGGAGAGGAAAAACCCCCTTTTAACAGGAAGAAACATCCAGCAGAACCAGGCTCAGTGTGAGTGGCCATCTTCTGAGGCCGAGTTCAAAGAGACATAAGCAGACATACAAAAAGAAGCAGAGATACAAAGGAAACACACAGCCAGGCAGACGAGCTCCATGCCAGCTCCCATGTCAGAGGATGAAGCGAGCACAACCAGTTAGTCATAGTCAGAGAAACAGGACAACACTGGAAAAACAGGCCGATCTTGAACATCTATAAACTAAGGTGTTGATGGCAGCAGCACAGGAGATATTTCTCTCAAGGATGGGGTCACAGCCAAACAGGAACAGACCAGATGCAGCTACTATGAGAAAAAAAAGAGAGAGCATAACGTTAGAGACTGACCTAATAGATTCTGCAGAGTTGGAGAATAGAGATAGAATGACACAGAATGATGAAAAAAGGGTCCCTATGTCTTATAGCAGCATAATTATAGAGACATCTCAGGATAACCTGTAGTTTCTGTGGGGTTTTTAAGGATAGGGGTGTCACTATCCGATAATGATATCGGAAAGCAGGCCAATATCAGCCAAAAAATAAATGTGGAATGTTTAGGCCTGCCTCTAAAATCTCTGATATTAGAAAGCTCATTGTAATACTTTGCTTTTATATGCTTTTGTGTAAAGTTTATGTGACTTTTTGGTTTAATAAGAAATGGGTCAATTGTTCTCATATCTGATGCTAAGTACTGTTCTGTGTTTGAGAAATGTCACTTGATCAAACCTTTTTTTTTATCATTCCATGCTATAAAATAATTAATAAAACTATGTATGATTAATGCTGATATCATATCCGGTCAATATGGGTTTAGATCATACTCAGAGCTGCAACATCTTATTGGAAATGAAAAAAGTTGTATCCGGACATCCCTAGTTAATAAAGAAAAAAGAAGACTGCTTTCATGTTGCTTTTCTCCAACTATAAGGAGACGCAACTTGTTAACTTAAGGATATGGGTAAATATTGTGTTTTTGGAAGAGAAAAAACAGCAAATTTTATATATAAAAGCAAAGGTTTATATCTGGAAGAAGTTGGGCCACTGGGCTCTGCAACTTTGCTGTTCAGCCATGCTGCCATTATAGACATGTTTATGAGCAGTTTTAAAATTTTGATTTAGGTTTTAAATTTAACTAGATTGCTTCTTTTAACTGTTCAGTTGTATACTTGCTTGTGTATATTGATTCACTGTTTATGTTTGTTCCTTTGGCAGATGTTTTATTTCAAAGTTACTAACAAATGCGGATTTTATGTTGCAGTTAATATCAAAGCTAACAATAGGCTACTTAGAAAAGGACCAGTAGTGAGGCTCTTCTGACGGTAGGAAGGGTGACAGTGCAGAAATGTAAAGCAGGCTAAAGGGGAAATTGCAGAAAGAGGTAGTGCGGTAGGAAAGGCAGAGAAGTACATACAGGTGCTGGGGTGGGAGAGGGTCTATGAAGAGATGGGTGTTTAAGACCAGCTAGAGAGACAATCTCAACTAAGGTATTTAATCTGGCTTTAACCAACATAAGATCTCTGTCAGGAAAGTCATTTTTAATCAGAGACTCAATTACTGAGAAAAATATTGATTTTCGATCCCCGGCTCCAACTTTCAGTGTCGTGTCTTTTGGCAGGACACTTCACCCACATTGGTCAGAGGGCCTGGTGGCGCCTGTGTATGGGTGCTTCTGTCAGTAAGCCCCAGGGCAGCAGTGGCTACAATGTAGCTTGCCACCATCAGTGTGTTTGTGAATGACTGAATGTAGTGTAAAGCGCTTTGGTCAAGTCTCCTGACTTGAAAAAGCGCATTAGAAGTACAGGCCATTTACCATTGATTTTATGTTTTGAATGGAGAGAGATGAAAATAATGAGACGCCGATTTGATTTGAGACCTCACCTCCAAACTACTATTTTCTCCATCAGAACAGACTGTTTAAAAAAAGGAGAAGGGCTTTTTACTTTGTTTATTGATTCACTAACGTGTAGAAAAGTGATCCTTGGTGACTTTGAATCTTTTGAATATCTGGCTTTCCCAAGTACAAGGCCCCGTTCGAGCCATATTTGGGAATGTTTACAGGCCTCCAAAGTCCTGAACAAACTTTTTAATGATCTCAATTAACTTTTATCTGAGATGTGTGTTGAACATGACTACTTAATTATTGTGAGAGACTTTAATGTTCATGTTGACAAAGGTGCAAAAGAACTGTGTGATACACGTAAAAATGTTTGCTTTGACTCAACATGTTAGCCAATTTACAATCGAGGACATGTTTTGGACCTGGTCATCAGCAAAGGTCTAAATATTTTTTAATGTTTCTGTAACTGATGTTGCCCTATCAGACCATTTTTCTTTTTACTTTGAAACAATTTTCCCACTGATCTAATTACCAAAAGAACTGTTATAAGAAAGTGTATTATCATGGACAGTACAATTGCAGACATCAGTGATTTCAGTGCTTTATTTTAACTAAAAGTCATCTTTTGGAAGTGGAAATCTAAATAGAGAAATGCAGCAATAAGGAAAGAAAAGAGGGAGTGCTGAAAAGTTGAACGAAGATGATGGAATATTGGACTCAAAGTTTACTATGTACGCTATAAAGGGAGGCTTCAATAATAAAATTCACAACTAAAAAATGCAAGATAGTCTTTCTTCTCTGAGATTTTAAGAAAAAAACATTGACAATACTCGCACATGATTTGCCTCGGTCGACAGGATAACAAATCCTCTTTTCTCCATGGCAGATGAACTTAGATCTAAAAAGCTCAGCAATGACTTTGAGACGTTGTTTACTGAGAAAATACAATACATTAGAAAAGCAGTCTGCACATCACATCAACGCCAACTCCATTACCAATGCTGTCTCCGGTTTGAATAAACTCTCTTAAAGACAACCCTGTTAAAATGTCCCAATTCTGACCAATAAACAGCAAAAGTTTAGAAGAAAGTGTTCAGCAGCTAAGCTCCTATTTCTGCTGTCTTGATGTTTTACCTACAGGTTTAATTAAGAAGGTTTCTTCTGTTTAAGAGTCTGATTTGTTTCAAATCATAAACACATCCCTTATGTTGGGTGTTTTCCCACGAGCCTTAAATACAGCAATTATCAGGCTATTGTTGAAAAAGAGAAGCTTGGACAAATTGTTCCTACAGAACTACAGAACCATCTCAAACCTCCTCTTCATCAGTAAGTATTGAAAAAGTTGGGTTTCAACAGTAAAATGCCTTCTCAACATGACCACCTGCTTTGATTTCTTCCAGTCAGGTTTATGTGGCAACCACAGTACAGATAATATCCTGATTAAGGTGTTCAATGATGTCTGTATAAACTCAGACTCTGGAGGAATCACAGTGCTGGTACTTTTGGACCTCAGTGCAGCGTTTGATACTGTTGATCACTCGATTTTATCGGAGCATCTGGAAACCTGGGTTGGCCTCTCTGGA